TTTTGGGGTGCGGTGAAGAACTGGCTTCGAGAGCACTGCGATTATACTTTCGAGACTCTCCGGGAGAACATGCCGAAGGCACTTCGGTCAGTGTCAGTTGAGCTGATCCGAAAATGGGAGCATCGGGCTTGGAGGTTTGTTGACGCATATGCTGAGGGCCTCGGAGCGCGGGAGGCACAGCAGAAAGTGAAGGAATTCAGTTCGCGCAGGTATAAGTCCCACCGCCGTATCCCGGAGCAGCTGGCACAGGCGATGGACGCCACGTAGCATTATGTAATATTACCTCTTTAGTAAATAAACGCTCGTGTCACGTGCTGCGGCCTTACTAATGAGGTCAACTTTGCCAGTTTTGACCCGATCGAAAATCGCGTTTAGGGATCAGTCCCTCTATTCAAATCCTTACAATTGACAGATTATGGGAGGGTTTCATAACAATCTAAGTGACTTGTAAGGCGGCGCTTAAGAGCGTACAAAAGTGGATGCCACTAATTGAACTGCACCATAGAGCAACCTGAGGGCCTGAGAGCAAGCGATGCAAGCCTCGCACACAAGTTTGTCACCTGACATTGAGTCAGCCCTGGGAACGTAGGCAAGGAGCTATTGATAACGTTGCGCTTCAGGCTGGGGCGAGTCGAGCGGGTCGCTGAATGGGTCAAGAAGGCGGCTGCTCTGTCAAGTTAGTCATGGAATACTCAATGGACATGGTACGCGCGGTTCCTGGCAGCGCCACATCATACATTGTTAGGGAGTCGACATACAACGCGACATGCTACATGATGGGCATAAACAGTTACTGAGCTTGACTTCCACTAGAAGCGTACGATGTATTCGAGGAAGGACTCTCCTCCCTTTGAAGCTCCCGCAAGACCTGGTGGAACCTCAGCGTCCACCACCCGCGCTCTTCACGTTCGCCGTCGGCCACGTCTCTTCTCAGACCCTTCTGGGACTCTTCGAACTGAATAGACGGGCTCTTGGGTAGCGGCAGGCCGGAGGAGAGGATACCAACGAGCGATTGCCGCGTGTCTATCTCGAGGTCTTCCATCAAGGCACCTGGGAGAGTGGGCATCGAGAGCGAACGGAACGCGTGGTGCTGGCACTTGCGCAGAGCGTCGAGGAGCCGTTGCCGTTCCTCGTCGTTGGCATCGTTAGAGAACAATAAGGACACAACAGCGACATGAGCGTTGTCCGGGATGAACCCTGTGTCGAGGTGCTCGGGTTTGACTGGGACTATGTTCAATGTCAACCCGCCAGCTAGGTGGGCTTTTCGTGAGACCGAGAGCGCTGCATTAGAGCCATCATACATACCGCTATCGGTGAAGTCAAGGAGCCTAGATAGGCCAACACCGTCCACGAGGCGACACCTGTCTAGACGCTCCTCGTCCGATCGTGCTCTGGCATTCCCAGGCACTGCAGTAGTCAGCACAACGACGTCGGTGAAGACCATCATCTTAAGCATCCTATCTCGGGTCCGCTCCCGGCCATCTCGCAGCCGATTTCCGCTGAGGATCTGCCGCAAGTCCTCGCTTGGCTTCGGTGAATGACGCGCGCGACGGGAGGGAGGTAGACGACCAAATCCGGGCAGCCGCTGATCAGATCGAGGGGTGACAAGTTCAGAAGCAGAAGAGGTTGAGGAGGTCGTGTCCATAGTCTGCACAGAAAGCGCAAAAGAGGGAGACGACGACATAGAGTCATGCCGAGAGCGACGTTTGTCCCAATCCCGCACGGCGGTGGCGAGTTTGGTACCCCGCTGAGCTGGCGAGCGAGTCAGATAGCTGCTGTGAGGGCTGCGAGGAGTGTGTCCGTTGTGACGAGGAGACGCGGCGGGCTCAGAGAGGACGTCAGGTGTTCCAGAGGCCGAAGGTTCTGGGTGCAAGAGGATGCCATACCACAGGAGTCGACGCGCACGTCTAGCCAAGGGGCACGCCCTCGATAGCCCATCGATCCGAGAGGCAAGGTCCTTCACAAAGTCGTACTCTGCTTCGCGCACCTTGACTTCATCCATGACGCGTACTGCCATCCTAGTGGAGTGGAGCAGTGAGATCGAAGCGAGGTAGTCGGGGTGTTCACGCGGTGTGGTGTCACAAAGACGCTACAGACCATGATCAACCGTTTGGGCAACATATCATCGCACGCAGCGCGTATGAGACGCACCTGGAAATATTCGACATATCTCTCTAGCCTTGAGCTCGGCTCCCTGACCAACTTCTCGAGCGCCCATTCGCCGTCACTTTCCTCGTCCGCCTTCAACATCCTAAGGTACTCCCCAAACTCGCCCTCGTCTCTCTCAACGTACCACCGCACCGCCTCTTTCGCGCTGTCCAGCTTGACCAGATATGGCATGTAGATCTCAAACTGTGGCACGAACGTCCGGAGCGTGCCCGCAACGCGCTCAACGATTGCCCCGCCCTTCCACGCGACGACAAGAGGCGTGAGTGCGCGCCCGATCGCCGCGTGTAGATTGACGATGTCCTCAAGCCAATCGAACAAGCGCATCATGTCCGCAGGCAGGCCGGGGAGCCAGGCTCGCGAGTCGCGCGTGCGTAGTGAAAGGAAGTATGTGTGAATGACGTGCATGGAGGACTTGACGAACTCTTTGTCGAAATTGACGAGATCATGGATGACTTCCTGGCGTTCCATTTCCATTTGGCTGTGTTGCCTGAGAAGGTGATTGTAAACGCCAGGAGGGAGCGTGGATCGCCAAGAAGTAAGCGCATCTCGAACAACCAGTTGAGCAGGGGACAGCGTCGGAGGATCTTCAGGGATAATCGAGAGGACAGGACAAGCTCGAGTAGGCTCATCGTAGACAGATCCGAGACTAGAACAGGATGGCTCAGCAGCAGACGCCAGAGAACGTTGCTTAGGGCTTCGGCCATGATCAGGAGCAGCAGGAGAAACAAGACTAGGGGACCGAGTCGAAGGGCTCAGGACGTTCCGGGGCTTCCAGATCCTCGGTTCAGCTACAGGTGTCCTATCTTGTGCTTGCTCGGTGTTGTCGTGTCTGGGTAGAGAAGGAGACTTGCGACTGCTAGATTTGGCTACCTTTGACGTCAATGTCTCAAACAGCGCTGCGGCGCCCCTGCTGAGCTCTTTGCTGAACTTGTGGTGGTGTAGCTGCCATCCACCGTCTGAAACCTCGCTAGATGCGCGCTGCAGACCAGGTTTCGAAGCGGTGGAAGCTGCACTGTTGAGCCTTGACCACGGCGGCCTGATAGACATAGACTCATCCTCGTCCGGAGTGATATCATTGCTGCCACAGAACGAAAGTGAATCCGGGATACCAAAGGCAAGACGTTCGTCGCGCAGGTGCGTGTCGCCTTGTCGCCCAAACGCCACAGAGCCAGACTCAGGACTAGGTATAGAGCGAGGAGAACGTGAGACAAAGCCAGAGCTAGCAGACGAAGGACTCTTGAGCTCTCGATTCCCCCGCTGAGCTGAGACGGACATGCGCATAGACAGCCTGCTCTTATGCTTGGTAGAGCTAGAGTGTGGATCCCCAATGCGAGCACAAGATCCAGGCGAAGCAGCTGCAAGTAGAGGAGAATTAGACCGAGGAGATCTGACGGTAGTCCGAGGTGATTTGGGACGCAGAGACGCGCGGGTTGGCACAGGAGATGCAGAACGTTGGCAAACATCAGAGTCCAGGAGCGCTATAGAAGGTCGGTTGTGCTGCTCTAGGTGTACGCTCTCGCGCAAAGCTAGGGAGCTAGGAGGTCTCTTCCAGGACTGTCGACCGTTTGCATGCTCTACAAAGCGCGTCGTATTTGAAGAAGGCTTGGCGTCGCGGATGTCTTCATCTGAGTACGTAGATTCTTCTTCCCAGGCGTCCTTACGGCGCTGACTCTGCGTGTCGCGGAACTCTCGACTGGAGCTGATTGTATGAGCCGTGGGAGCTTCTATTGAGTCGCTGATAGCGAGACCTTGGATGCTGTAGTCAGCGCCGCTATCACTCTGCACCATACTCGCCCTCGGATTGGAAGCAGCGCTTCTGCGATAGTCACGGTGGAACCCGTCAACGAGCTCCATGAGTGTCTCTTGACGTCGATCGTCATTCGTATGGTGCACAGAGCGTCGCCTTCTGTCGCTGGACTCCGGAGCGAGGTCGTAATCATAAATGCTTTCGTCGTCGTCCTCAGCAGCGGGGAAGATGACCGGTTCGTCCATCAGGGAGCTGTCGGAGAACTTGTTGTAGATGCCCTCGTCCTCGCTGTCCAACGACCCCATCGTCCGCCGGCCACCAACATCGACCCCATTCACGTTTAGACCTAGACCAACGCTACCGCGACTATGCATACGAGACGGTGTCGTGCCACCGCGATGAAGGGGAATCTTGGAAGCTTGTCGAGGCTTGCTACGCGGCGTCTTCTCCGCCGAGGGGGGCATCGCGAGCTGACTACGCTGGGAAAGCCACCGGGACCGACGATGAGCGGACATGCTGTCTTCGCTCTCGGATGAACTCGGAACGATGATTGCGTTCGCAACCACGAGTCGGCCTGGGGAGAGCGTCTTATCAACCTCCCTCTCTAGCTCAGAGCCGCTGTCGCTGACGGGCACGTTGATGAACCTGGCCACCTTCGGACGGGGCAATGAGGTCGGCGGAAGCGGGGACGCGGGCGTACGCCCTGGCTGGGGTGTCGTAAATACCGAGCTCCGCCGTGTTTGCTGGGGGGTGCTAGGGTTAGATTTAGGTTTTGCTTTAGCGCGGAGTGCTTGAAGAGCCGTCTGTGCTTTTACGGTCGGGGTTGGGAAAGACGGAACAGGAAGCTTTCCTGGTTGAGAAAGATCGACACGGGAACTCAGGTTGGACTGCTAGGGAAGGATGAGAGATGCGATGCTATTGGATGTTGGACTACCTACGCTTGTCTCAGAACCACGAGACGTATCCGAGTGGTCACCTCGATCGCGTATGGGAATCACGGGGGTTTGAAACCTGGTAGCTGACGAGGCAGGAGTATTGCGTCGTGCGGGAGACTTGAGGGCGGACTTGGGACGAGGAGATGGTGCGGGAATACCAGAAACTGGTTGATGTAAGGCAGATGTCGCAAAGCGGGTGGATTGGGGCGTCTGTGTGTCCATAGACTCCCCAAAGTCAGGCCGGGACCGCGGGGGATGTGTCATACGGTCAACTGTATCTCGCAGAGAAGGAAGAAGTTGAGTTTCGAGTAAGGGGATGTCGACCAGTTGGCTCTTGCGATTGTCTATTCCTTCTTTCTCCTTCTCTACCCTGGACTCGGAACGTGCAAGAGAGACTGTAAAACGCTTACTGGATACTCTTCGCATCAGTCTGCCCATGGTGCTCGAATGTGAAGATTGCGACTCGGATGACTCCACAAGAGGTGCCTCGTCTGCTGGAGTCTGCGTTGGGTATGAAGGCCCATCCTGAGCGACTTCTCGAGAATGGTTCGGATATGGTATTCCTGCAGCGGCAGCGTAATGAGAAGGGGGAAGGAACGCAGGTGGGCGAGAAAGTTGAGGAGTGAACATCGCTGGACTGCCGTTGTTCAGAGCTGGAGAACGTGATTTGCTTCGAGCATGGGTGCGACCGAAAGGCATTACCGCGTCCAAGTGGCAAGAATCCAAGCTATCACAGCCGCGAAATTCGAGAGCGATGTGGTGAACGACGAGGGCAAGGACAAATACGTGGTCAACATGACCACGAGCGAGCCGGAGTCTTGGAATAATAAACGCCTGTTTCACATTGATTACACATTTCATTCTCCGAAAATATTTATTAGTTCGTCTGTAAGGAGTACAATAATATATCCTGTAAGTTAGGCCTTCGACGGATTTCAATCGCAGGTACTTATTACAGTACCCCATCACCGCTCGACTGCAAGGCTCGTTCCTTTGACTGCACCACATTCTCCTCCGTTGATTTGCGACAAACATCCATCCATACAAAATCTACATCGTATTATAAAACAGGTGGTACTCTGCTAAACCCGATATAGCGTCGTTCAGCGCTATATCGCCGGTAAAACTTCGCACAGACGCCACCCAGCCCTGAGACTGATAGGCTGAAGTTTCAACGCTAGAGCCTCCGGAAGCTGCTGAAAGATAAGCCCAGACCCCGAGTCGCCCCTCATCGATTTTGTGACAAAATTCAACCCGGACGGACGTGAGCGGGACGGCCTGCTGAAGTATGGTCAGTCAGTCTGGATTAGAGAACCTCCCCCTGATCACCGGTCCAGGAGCAGCCGAATTCTGCCTTCATTTGCTTTCGGACTGTTCACCGCGCGCCCGGTGAGCCTTACCGGGCTTCACAGAGCATTGCGAAATAGGCCGGGGGCAGTCGCGGGACTTCATTGATCCAAGGACCTCCTTATCTACGCGAACCCGCGATTTCGCGTTCGACAACAAGCGATACCGTCATTTGTTACCGTCCCGACAGTTTACCTTCTCACTATCACCACCTCGACCGACTCAATGCTTTGCGCACACCTACCATAATGTCGCGTCATCCTGCCTCAGAGTCGCCGCAGGTTACGTCCATAATGTCGCCCTTCTCACCCCCGCACACAGAGGAAGAAGACTCGCCTGGCATTCGCGATACAGAAGCTTTCTTGCGATTGCAAAGTGGGTCACCCCCTACGCGCTCTGGGTACGTCCTACTGCCTGGTCGCGTGCATGTCCACGCAAAATTACCAGTTGTTCTGACCGCGGATGCTGCACTAATAGGCTGCTTGGCCCGCGAAGCTATGTCACGTCCAGCTCACGCTCGTCAGATCCGAGGCACGTTCCCCTCGCCCTCCACTCGCAAGATACCATTCGCGACAGCACAATGGAGATCTCCAGTATCCCTTTGCACAACTCGTCCTCTGTCGACATCGCGCACTCACAAGGACAAAATTCCGAGGGGTTCATCTTTCCCGACCTCGCGTCCAGCCCTCCGCACGCGCACGCGGCAGACCTCCTGCCCGCATCTGCCGCGTCTTCAGTGATTTCATTGAGACCTGCGGAAGACGTCAGCGACCTCGAGGCCTCCACATCCACGCTCTCTACGCAGCACTCCGGGGCCATGACGCCGCGCGCGCAACCAGGGACGTCGCAACCCTCCGCTCTCTCCCTCCTTTTCGCGCGTCACGACGGCGAAGCTGCTTCAGGTGCAACGCCACCCATCACAGAGTCGCAGCTACCGACGCCCACGGTAGAGCGGCCAGGCGCGATGTGGGGGTCACTGTCCGTGGTACGTGAACAGTCTGTTACGTCCTCGGGCGCATCACATGCCCGCGAAGAACCCGACCGCGAGACCTCGGACGAGAACATGCCCCTCTTGTCAGACCTTGAGGCCAATCACCGGACATATCATACGAATGGTGATTCGCGACCAGAGGCTGTTGGCAAGCGAAGCGCGCGGGGTGCGGTGAAGGACTTCACGGTTCGGATAGCGAGGGAGTCCGCACCCGTCGCGAAGGATGCCTTGAGATCGATACCCGCCGCTATACTGGGCACTCTCCTCAACATCCTGGACGGCGTTTCTTGTGAGTACCTTGTCACGCGACGCGCCCGGTCGGCCTTTCTTTGACGAGTGCGTCATCAGACGGCATGATTATATTCCCTGCTACTGGCGTTTTCGAGCATCTTGGCGGCGTCGGCGTGTCGATGTTCTTTGTGAGGTAGGTTTCGATCACTTTATCATCGGCAGGCTGCTGAAGGAGTTTTGCGCAGCGCCATCGTCTCGCAACTGATATATTCCGCCGGCGCGAGCGGTTTCGCAGGAGCTAACGGGAGTATGATGATTGAAGTCGTGGTGAGTACCATCAGATAATGCACCGTTGACGCATCTCCATCTCCGCTTGTCTCACTTCATAGCCGTTCTTCCATCTCATCGCCAATGGTATCGCGGAGGAGATAGGAGAGGAGAACCCTCGAGCAGTGATCGCGACCACGATGGTTGCCTTCGCATTCTCGTCTATTCTCACGGGTAAGACGAACCTTTGCTTTTACGTTCAGAAATGAATAAGTGACCGACGATCATAGGCTTGACATTCTTCCTCTTGGGAGCGTTACGTCTGGGAACCTTGATCGGCTTTTTTCCACGTCATATTCTAGTTGGGTACGTCCCCTTCCAGTTTGAACACCTGAGCCTATACTGAGAAATCGTATAGCTGCATAGGTGGCGTCGGCGTGTTCCTGGTGATCACAGGGTACGTTCGTCGAATTGAAACGCGTCATATCATAATTGACGTCGTGTGTAGCCTTACCGTGAGCACCCGGATGTCGGATGACGACTTTTCGCTATCACTGGAGACGTTCAAGTACCTCGTCCTGAACGTTGGCAATCTTGTTCTATGGCTTCCCGCATTTGGTCTCGCCGTGCTCCTACGCTTCATCACGCATAAATGGGATCATCAACTCATCTTTCCTATCTGTAAGCGCGTCCCTATTATTTTGCCTAGTAGAGCCGTCGTTCTGACGATTTTCTGCGCACAGATTTCTGTATCATACCCGCAGTGTTCTATATTGTTGTGACTGCCGCAAGGATAAAGCTCGGAGACCTGAGAGAGGCCGGGTGGCTGTTTGATATGAGCACGTCACGCGAGCCGTGGTGGTACTTTTACACGCTCTTCGGTACTGCTATCCTCTCATGTCTTGGAATGGAGGCTAACAGTCACGCGACCAGATTTCGGCGCCATGAATTGGGGAGCGTTTTGGTCTGTCATGCCCACACAACTTGCATTGTAAGCTCTACTTGCACGAACTGCCTAGGTAGGAGAACATGGTACTGAAGGACATCAATTGCAGATTGTTCTTCAACATCCTACATCCGCCACTAAACGTTCCGGCGCTGGGTGAGTATAGGCCACATCAACGAATATTTATGAACCTGAATTTCCGTCCAGCTGTATCATTGAACCATGACGCGAACACAGACAAGGAGCTCGTCGCGCACGGATACTCGAACCTCCTTGCTGGCCTTATAGGCACTGTGTAAGCGTGAACGACGCTGATGTAGCTTCTTCGAGGAATTGATTGATGTCCTTGCAGACCTAACTACCTAGTATATGTCAACACCTTGCTCTTCTACCGGGTAGGCGGTGACACGCGCGTCTCCGGGTTCATGCTAGCAGGCACCACTACACTTCTGCTGCTAGTCGGAACTGGTCCTATCGCATTTATCCGTACGTCGCACCCGAAATATTGAAGCCCATGGAATACTGAACCAATGATAACGGACAGCGGTCATGGTTGTTGGCGCGCTCATCTTCGTCCTCGGTATCGACCTTGTCAAGGAAGCACTCTGGGACACACGGCACCGCGTCAGCCGGATGGAGTACATTACCATCATCAGCATCATGATTGTAATGACGGTGTGGGACTTCGTGACCGGGGTTCTCTTTGGTATCATCGTCAGCTGTACGTTCGTTCTAGTACAGATGCTCCCCTCAGTCTCAATCTGACTTTGCTACTCCGTAGGTTTCTTCTTCGTGGTACAAAGCTCGCAGCGCCAGAGCATCCGTGCCCTCTACAGTGGAGACAGTGTTGTGTCCACCGTGCGCCGGCCCGGCGCTCATCGCGCGTACCTTCGTGATGTGTCGAAGCAGACGACGGTCATGCGTCTGCAAGGCTTCTTGTTCTTCGGTACCATCACACATGTCGAGGACGCTATCCGGGCACTACTCGATGAGCCCGCGTGGCAGCGAACGCCCATACGTTTCCTTGTCCTCGACCTCGCGCTCGTCGCCGGAGTAGATATGAGCGCCGCGGAGGCGTTCGTGCGGGTCCAGAGGCTGCTTGCGAGCAAGAGAGTCGTGTTGGTATTGTGCGGCTTCCCGGTTGACAGCGGTGTTGGACGTGCTCTGAGCAATGTTGGACTGTTCGAAATGGCGGGGGTCGAGTTGTTCGAGACGTTCAGCGGTGCTATTGAGTGTGAGTTGTGTTCGCACTTCCAAGTCATAGTTTGGAGACGCTGATCAGTTCACGCCACGCGCTCAGGGACTGAAAATACCTACCTTCGTGCATGGTTTACTACGCAGAAGACAGAGGTTCTCCCAGTTAGTACGTAAACGATGTGATTGTCCGTGAATGATGCATGAGCCTAAAGGCTTCACAGCTCTTCCCGGCAGGCAGGACGATGCCATCCCCTTCTACGGTTCTGTCATCGACAGTCCGAGACGCGCTGCCCTCGTCGGCGCAGGTTGGCGTACTATCGCACGAGGTCAGTGAATGCGTGTCTGCTTTGCTTCAGTCCATGCCTGATATAATGCCATACACAGATCACTCGCCACCGGACGACCTGCCTGCGCCTGAACCATTCAACACGCTCGTCCGCGCGTTCTCGCCATACGAGCAGATCGATCAGGAGACATTCGCACCGCTGATACCCTACCTGAAGCGGATGTCTGTACCTGAGAGCACCGTGATCTGGGAACAAGACCAGCCTCCCGATGGTCTATATATCGTCGAATCCGGCATTCTCCGTGCGACCTATAACTTTGCCGATCCTACGCCTCCTATGATTGAGACGATGGTACCGGGCACCATTGCGGGAGAGTTGTCCACACTGTCTGGGTTGGAGCGAAACGCAACATGCGTCGTGGAGCGATCTGCTGTACTCTGGAAGTTGTCTAACGAGAATCTCGCCCGATTGGAGCAAGAACAGCCTGAGCTGGCCCGGGTCTTCACGAGATTGATTCTAAAGGGTGAGTGAAGCGTGTTTACAAACCAAAATGGGGTGGTACTAACATCAGCGATGACCTACTTGCAGTGGCCAAGTTGGATTACGATATGCTCATTACGGCGCTGGCGACGAGACAGTAACAGGGCTGGACGGACCTCATATTTATGTCTGTCTAGCCGTTGTCTCCTTGACATTGCATCATCCAGACAATACCACGACGCGAATGGGAAGGAAATTACTATAGCACCTCATCCGGAAGCCTCGCCTACTATAAAGTGCTCTGGGTACTTTTTTAAACAAATGGTAAGTACGTGTATGCAGTGCTGTCCGCGTCAAAGTCAATGCGTCAATGCGTGTCAATGCTATCGATCGACCCCCTACTGACGCGTCAATGACCCGTCAGTGACCCGTCAATCAAACACGTGACCATGAGCCATGCGGTCTAAGGGGCGGTGAGACGCCGGTCAATCCAGACCAAGTCCGACCTACTGTGCACGGTCCTGAACATTATTCCTGCGTCGGGTTGCCCGTGTGGCTCCCCAGGAGATTGTAGTATGATATAGCACCTGTTTAAGTCTGAGTTTGCAAGGTCATCAGTCCAGGTCTCTTCAGCTGAAAGCTTGCTGAGGCCGATCCGACCTGGGGCATCAACCTCCCAGTCATCATTGTGGTCTCTCTTGGTACTCAAGTAGAGAAGGTGCAGATAATGTTGTAAGCTCTACTACATGAAAGTATTTGGAGAAACAGATGACCACAATTGCAGCATACACGGGCTGTATCTCCTAGAGAAAACATTTGGCTCAGGAATATTTGGTGCAACTGAGGGCCGTGAGGGGACGCAGAAAGCAACTGTTTCCGAGGACTTCTGTCTGGTGAAGCAGAATCCGCACGAATATTTTGTTCTGTGCTTCCCCTCTTCATCGACTTTTTGCTGATGCAAACATGTCCAAATCCCTGTCCCGATATGTATGACCACAACTACATTAAATACAAGTCGTAGTTTCTCTCTCTCCAAATACACAACTGTGGACCCAGGTGCACAACTTACGTTCCAGAGGAAGCAGAGTCAATTCATATCCAAGACAAGTCTTACAGGTTCGCACAACTACATATGCAGGCTCGCGACTCGAGTCTGAAGAGCGTGCGGACCGGGTTAGCCGATGACCGGTCCCCGTCATCCCATCCTGGGCCAATCACGATGAGGTTCCCACGATTGATTGACAGGTCCATCATTGACGTGACCTATTGACCCTTTGACTTGACGCATCGACCGACCCCGTCACTGACGGGTCAATGACAACACTGCGTGTATGTACAGGGGGGCAGATGATCGGGAGCACAGGGTAATATTCGGGTATATCTGAGCCTATTGCTACATTAAGAGCCACTCAAAACGTTCATGCTGCAGTCTTACGGGCAGGTTCCTGCTCCGTGCCCCGGCCTTGAACGGCACTTCGTTCGCTAGCTGCGATCTGCCTTGGTGTGTCCTTCGGTGGATCGAAGGCCGTAAAAGAGCAACCTCGGCGGTGAGTTACCTGAATAGAAGTGATGGAGCATGTGCGCAACCGTTGGGATCCACATGCGTTGATGTCACCTTACTAGGTCATTGCCAGGCACCTTACCTGATGATCTCGGTCTAATCTCTGCCTTGCCAGGGAAAACACCTTGCAACCAAGGGCTCAGCATGGCAAACATCTACTGCGAATATTCCTGAGGCCCGGCTAGCTCTGGGCAACCTTTCTGCCTCCACCTCCTTGCTATTTTGGGGGCGAGGGAGCGCTGTGAGGATACAACGGTACTGCCGGTACCGTCGGCTACATGATCCTTCTAATGCTCTTTCCTTTCCATGAACCTCTTGCATCAAAGGGATGTGCATACATCACTCACGGGGGCCGCGAAGCAGCACGTCGCAACACAGGCAGGTCCGTGATACGCGATCATGTGTTTGTTCATGTGCAGTGCGCCGCATGGCCCAAGCAACATTTTGGTAGCTCATGGTGCTGTGTGCTTCGGTGCACAAGGTACCGCAGACAGTTGCACTGAGCTTGATTGAGTGATTTAAACGCAGTCCCCCAACCTCAGGTAGCCGACGCGTCCGCCCTCGTCCCCCGTCGCACCTTTACTCATCGTACTCCCGGCCGACCCCCGTTCCATCGTCAAGATGGTGTTCAACTTCAAGAAGCTCGCGTCAATCGCCACCTTGGTCACGGTGATGTCCACCCTCTGCACATATCCAAGTCCCGTCGCCGCGTCGCCGCTTGTTCCCCGCGCGCAGTGTGCCGCCACTCTCAGCACTGCCGCCGTAAGTGCTCTTGATCGAGGCCGCTGTTTCGCTAACCGACGCGCTCCACTCGCATCGCCACCTCCAACGACGAACGTATTAGAGCGTCGGGTCTCGCTTGCAGAGTAAGTACTGGAACGGGAGCGGATGGGGCATCTTTTGGACCGACGCTGTGAGTGCTCTCTCGCTCATCCGGGATCTACCCTGCTAGTTTAGGGACACAGCTCACTTTGGATGCTCTCGCGGCGTGGTGATGGTAGAACACGATTGAGGACTTCTACAACCTGATGTTGGCGGACGGCTCGACGACCTTCGACGTCGCGGACAACACGCGCATCGGCCAGCTCGCACTCCAGCAAGACCGGAACGCATGGATCTCCGCGCTGAACGGTAGCAACGACGATGCCGGGGTAAGCAACCCTGCCTGGGTTCGACGCGGTACCCGACTGACTCAATCCTTCCCCAAAGTGGATCGTCCTTTCTCTCTGGAAGGTTGCCGATTACCGATCCACCCACGGCCAGAACGCTGCACCATACCTTGTTTGTCTCAATTGTCTGATGTGCCGCGTTTGTCCTCTCCTGAACACCCCCTCGTTTGCAGAATAGCGCGTCCATCGTCTACGACCTGATCGCCGCAGAATGGGACGATTCTGTCTGCGGTGGCGGTGGTGAGTACCTTTGACCGACACGCATATCAGATGAGGTTACTCAATGTCCACTCGCAGTGTGGTGGTCGAGCGCGCACACGTATAAGAACGCGATCACGAACGAGCTGTTCTTGTACATCTCCGCCTCAGGCTACAACCGCTTCGGCAACGCCAACTACCTCGCGAACGCAAAGAAGGTAAAGCGTTGCGCATCATACTACTCGAGCATATGCTAAAGATGAACCTTGATAGACATGGAATTGGCGTAAGTACACCGGACTTGTGATTCGGAGTGATCGTCCTCACCTCGGATGAAGTCCTCAATTCAGGTATCCGTAACTCCCAAGGCCTTTGGAACGACGGGTACGTCGTGAACTACATGCATCCTACGGATTCCACGTGTCTGACGCGTTCTTTCAGCCTGACGAGCTCGTGCGCGAACAACGGCCAGACGACCTGGATATACAACCAGGGCGTTATCGCCTCCGGCCTCGGGGCGCTTTACAAGGCGACGGGCGACTCCTCGCTCATCACGCAGGCCGAGACCACGCTGGACGCGACGATCAACCACCTAACGGTGAACGGCATTCTCAAGGAGAGCTGCGACAACGCCAACCCGACGTCGACATGCGACAACGACCAGGCGATGTTCAAGGGCATCTGGATGAAGCACCTCCAGTTCTATCTCGATAACGTGCCCGACCGCGTATCCAAGTACCAGAGCTTCATCGGGGCGCAGGAGTCGGCGGTGGTCCACTACGGCACCGGCTCGGGCTGGACGGTCGGCAACGTGTGGTACGCGCCGAGCAACGGCGGCTCGCTCTTTACAGCGGAGACTCAGACTTCTGGGCTTGCTGCCCACGTCTCCGCCGCGAAGTACGGCCCGTGCTGATGGGTAGGGAGCGATGGAAGCAACCTACGAGGCGACTGTGCCATGAGAGGACCTGGAAAATCTGTAGATGTAACTTGATACCCTGGCGTAGGAATGTAGCGTAGCTCTTCCAAACAGTACGAAGGCAAACACAGGCATATACCTCGAAGGGTTGAGGGCAATCCGCATTCCAAAGCGTCTGACACACGCTATCATACTCATCCCCGATTCTGTCGGTCGCGATGGCCAGTAACGGCAATGGTTCCTCGCGCAGCACGCTGCTCTGGAGCATAAATGCAGCACAGTGCTTTTTCACTTGAAGTATCCGATGAAAATCCACCCAGAATCATTGATAGCAATAGCATACAACTACAACTTTCCTCGGTATGATATCGGTAAGGCTGACATTGGATAGAGCGAAGGGTGTAACTCACAGCAAGATGAAAACTTACGTTCAGATAGCATCGTTCTCCACCAGCTTCCCGCAAACGATGTACTTGCTCGAGAAATGCTCCATCCATCCTGCGTGACAGTTAGTAAGCGGGCCTGAGATGCTAAGCGCGCGGGCGTACCCTTCATGTTTTCGCTGCATAGAGGGTTGAAGTCAGCTATGTGCAGTTATGAATATAACGAGCGTACGCACATCTCTTCGGGCGTAAGATCGTCGAGCTTGTCGAGGGGTTGGTCTATGGGAGTGAGCATCTCTGCGCTGCCCGTCAGTACCTCTCCTCAACGCGATACGCACGAACGAGGAGCCCACCCTCATCAAACGACTGCTTCGCCATTCCGCGCGACGCGTCGCGCCCGGCGAAGTTGGCATACATGCCGTCTACCAGACGTCAGTTACTACATGCGCTGGAGTCTTTCACACAGAAGTCACTCACTAGGTCCGTAAAAATTCCTCCCCGCCGTCACATCATACACCACGCCCTTGATCGCAAGCAGGATACGCTTGCCGTCCTCGCCGTTGTAATAAGCGAGGGTCTTCGGGGTGAAGGTCTGGTATAGGAGCGTGGGTGGGTGCGACTTTGGCATCCATGTGTAGCCGTTCTTGAACTCATTGGGAACGGTCTGAGGCACTGAGTTGGAGGGAAAGAGGATCCTCTGGATGGAGTAGAGAATGTAGAGCAGGAGAGCAGTGTTGACTGGGGTTCCGAGGTCGAACGCCATCTTGCAATGCGAATCTCGAGAGCGGGGATAGTGGCAGGTGTCAGGAACGACGGGGATAGTGGGAACCAGTGGACCGCCGGCGTAGTCCTCCTAGACGCCTTTGCGCATCGTCGTGATCGGCGGGTCAAGCGAGGCAAGCGCGGGCCGCAGGTTTTCTCCGTCGTCCATTGCCCGGTCTCGCTTGCTGGTCACGATGTCCTGGTCATGCAGCTCCAATTGTCACCAGTCCTCGATATTTCGTCAATCACGGGGAGCGTGGCCCGCTTCCTCGCACTTCTGCGACATACGGGACTGCTCAAAAGGCGGGGCGGAAGGACAGAATGGGGTCAACGACTCGCAGGAGACTCCAACTCCCATTTTGAGTCGCTATATGCGCGAAGATGATGCTTCTCGGCGTATTGGGTGCGCTTCTCTGTCTCTCGGCGGGAGTGTATGGGGCTAGTCTCCGTGTGCTGGACGTTACGACGCTTGGAGTCGACCCCAACACGACCAATCACCTCAACGGCGAGTCGTTCCAGCAAGACGCGCTGGTGACCTTCAATGGTGAGTACATATTGTCAGAAGATGTTGACTTTAGTGGCTGAACACGTCTCAGGCTACCAATACGCTGCATTCTACGTGTCGGACGCATCCAATGCCTCCGTGAGACACCCCAGCCTCGCTCGTCGAGCCCTCACAGGGAGCAACATAACCTGGGAGACCTTCTCGTTCCTGGACTACAACCAGACCGACGATGATGGACATAATATGTGTGTCGGTACCTCCATGAATGTAGACATGACGTGGGGCTGATGCCTCGCAGCATTTCGCTAGGGATCTCCCATGGAGACGGAACCTTGCACCTTGGCTGGGATCAGCATGACAACGACCTGACCTACCGTATTTCGCGGACTGGAGTTGCAACCGCCCCTACGGAGGTCGACTGGTCTGCAGACCTGTTCGGCCCAGTCCTGGTACGTGCTCTATACCAGAAGCATTGCATCGTTTCAACTGACATGCGGTTCAGGACCAACTGCCGGGTACCGAGTCCCTCGACAAGTCCGTGTACTTCATCAACGTCACATATCCCCGGTTCCTTTCCCTGCCATCTACAAAAGTCCAAGCCGGCGGTGCAGACCTCTTGTTCGAGCTGCGTGTTGGCCGTTCTGGACTCGGAGATGATTGGCTGTACAAGTATACCCCTAATCAGGGATGGAGTCTTATCGGCAGATACCTGGAGGTAAGACCTCGCCAGTGTCCTTAAGCATCTAATCACCTAATGAATGTATTTCCCTAGGGCGTTAATAGTAAGTTGACTGCCTCGCTCCGTTGTGTGCGTCGCTCACGGCATCCCTAGACAATGCCTACATCAACGGACTCGATTTCGATCCCACCGGCGTCCTGATCGCCACATGGTGAGGCGTCTTGCCCGAACTGACCCAAGTAGTGATGCTGATGCATTCACAGGACCTATCGCGACTACGTCAACGATGTAGGTCAAAATGTCGCAGTGGAGGCGGGCCCCAACGGTCCTGAGAACGTAAGTGCACGCTCGCGTGATCCCGCTACCCACAGACTTACGATGAACCCTTCGCAGAACCACGATCTCAATTTCGCGTTCAGCCCGGATCTCGGCGAAACTTGGCAGAACAACTGGAACCAGACCATTGCGAACCTTACTGCCGAACAGCCTATCCTGCCCGTCTCAGCTGGCATTGTTATATTTGGCATCCCGAAGTACGGGTGAGTAGTCGAGACCGGTGGGTCTCCCTTGCGACGCCAAGTGCTTACGCGGTGGCAGAGGCATCCTGAACCAGGAGGCTCAGACCGTCGACAGTCAAGGTCGCGTTCACGTTCTGAACCGTGAGAACACAACGGGTACCGAGCAATGGTCAGCTATCTCCCACTCATGCATCTCCACGCAGCCTGACTCCGCTCCGTCTAGGTATCATTACTGGCGCAGCACGACCCAGCACTGGACACGGACCGCGCTCCCGCCCCCGTCCGAGCTGCAGACGATCAACAACATCACCGGTACGCCCACCGTCATCGGCAAGCGCGGCAAGATCGTCGCCCCGCCTCAGTCTTCGTCTCACTCGCTCCTGCTCATCCTGCCGGACAACGCGGCGAACTCGACCGGGTTGAGCATCCTCCGCAGCACCGCCGCGGGGCACTTCCGCGACTGGGAGGTCGTGTGGGAGGCTGCGAGCGGGAATGCGTGGGAGCCGCTGTTTGACCGGTATAGGTTGGAGGAGGACGGGGTGTTGAGCTTGTTCGTGGTGAACGGGACCGCGATCCAAGTCGTGGACTTTGATTTGAGCGGCGTTTGAGCTTTGCGTTTCGTCTCTGCTGACCGCAGGGCTGTGTCAAACCTCTTGTCACCCCACGGTTGCGCTCGCGTGTTGACTTGTGCCCATCGCCAAGAGATGAGAGAGGAGTGGTTGAGAGAGGGGCCTCTGCTCGTCATGCCTCGCGTTGAGGACACACTCAAACGGCCTATTCGTCGTGATGGGAAGGCATGTGGGTATCGAAAGTCCTGTTTTATGCGCTCACTTCGTTGGACACAGTTACTGGAATTTGAAAGCATTCTCCTCTTAATCATGAGACGGGGTGCCCGCACGCGGACATCGCGCTGCGTACTTGGACTGACTTCGCCGCGGCTCGTTCCACAGGGTCGCCCATGGTGCCACTTGGCAGAGCACAGCCGGTTGTGGAAGTTCTTCCATCTGTCCTCGAGCATGCAGAATTGGCAAAGCGGGGATCAGATGTCAAATTGCAACATCGAGCTTCTCACGCGCCGACAACTTCAGGGAGGCACTCCCAACACTGAACGCCTTCGAAAGCAGAAGCGCCGGACGTCATCTGACCACGCTGGCGTTAGAGCCTCCGTCGCTTCCATGAGACTCACTCCGTATCCGGAACACATGCACGTCTCAAGCATGGCTCCAGATGCTCACAAGCCACAAGAAGCGTTTGGAGGCTCGGGCGTTGAAACTTCAGCTCGCACGGCCGTGCGCGTGGTCATCTGCCTGGTGCCGGAAAAGGCCGACGAAATCTCGCAGGAAGCCTCGGGCACCATAAGCACGGAAATATATAGGCAATTCGCCCAACGTGAACTGGGCCGGCGAAGGAGCCTTCAGCCCCACCAATTTCCGTGTATATGCGAGCCTGTTCCTCTTCCTAGGTTCCGCTTCCTTGTTCCCTTCTTGACGCGCGATTCTGGCTCCCCACCATCGTCCGCACTGCGGCCGTCTAGCCCCCGCTTTCCACGCCCTGCTGTCGGTTCAATACTGACGGAAGATGCGTTGCTTGAGCGCGATCCTAGTCCTGGTGGGTGTCCTAGTCCATACTCTTGGTACGTTGGCTTCTTGTATATTGGGCTATCCAAGTGCTAACTAGCTCCTTTCGTGTGCTAGTAGTTCCCGCACTTTCAGCCGGTACAGGTGATCCCATAAGCGCCGGCGGGATTGGAGAGGATGTCGCATTACCAGACATGATTGGGCGTTTCAAGCGCGCGGTACGTAGTTTGCCAAGACAGTGTTCTGCACTCGCACTCAACGTCGAATCTAAGATCTTCGCGCCTTCAGGGGCAACGACTACGACCACCACCCAGACCGCGGCCTTGTCTACGTCTCCTGCTACCGTGACGTCATCAACCACCACGACCGAAACCACTGATAGCGCGACCTCATCCACAACAGCCGCGTCCTCCTCAAATCCCCCCACGACGCAGACTGCCAGCTCAAGCACCCCAGTCACCAGCCCCAGTACCACCACATCCCACGCGACATCTGGTTCTAGCAGCGCGATCTCCAGCTCAGCTCCTCCCAGCACTGAACCAAGCACTAGCGGTGGAGCCGGGACGGTCACCATCCAGACAACCGCTGCTACGGTAACTGTCGGAGGATCCGAGACCGTGCCAGTGGTGACCAGCGTTGTAAGTCGCATCTTTTGCCCTTGCCACACCATCTGTCCCACGTGGCCCTCCGAGCCCACACTCCGTCGCTCCCGGACTGTCTTCGCTTACGATTCCTCTCCGTTTTCCCTGTGCACAGACGACAGTTGTCTCCTTCACGATCACCGCGTCACCTTCCCTGTCCGACACCTCCACAGCACCAGCTGTCCCCTTCCCCGGTTCGAGTGGCGGGTCGGTAATTGTGGTCACCCACACGTCGCTGAGCCTGCCACCTACATCGAGCGCGTCGGATCTGCCGACGAACGGCGCAGCTGCCCTTAGTGAGGTCGCTCTTGATAGGAGAGTTGTTGCCGGGTTTGTCTTTGGGGTTGCGTTTTTGCTTTGTGTTCGCGTTTAGCTTCGTGGTACGTTCCGTTGCTGAGCGGAAAACTTGCGGGACTCCGTGTTCTGACACTGCTCCCTCCTTTTTCTGCCCTTAGCTCACGGACTCGAGGGTGAACGCGACTTCTGGTACCATACCCCCTGGACCTATTCATGTTTATCCTGTTCGTCGGCAATATACCCTGTTTCTGTTTCCTTCATGTCTCGCATTGGAGCATCGCAGCCGACTTGGACCCCTACCTTTCTTCTACATCCTCGGCGGCCATCGCGCCATCGTTGGCTTCATGAAGAGGATGATGTTCTATCGATCTATCCTGGGTTCAAGCTTGGACTCTGTCTGGCAGGATAATCATTTCATTCTCAATCGATCGAGACTTCGATGGTTTTGCTTTTGATATGTGAGCGCGTTCTCCTGGGCGGGACGACCAATGCTTCTCATCTCATCGGGGTATGGCAGCTCGGACATTCGAGGTTGACCTGCTGACATAGTCGAGATACGAATCCGACTGTAATGGCTGACTGTTGTCATACATGTTGCGGTCAGCCGCTGAACTTCTCCTATAATCATAGCGCATCTCTCTGAGCCGCTGCACTACGCTTCTTCCAGATCCCTCTCTGCACCACTCTTCGTGAAGATGGTCATGATCCACACCTACGCTGCTCTCTTCGCTGTCTATCTATCGACGTATGCCGGTGTCGGCGCAGCCAGTAAGTGTTCGTTGTCCCCTCCTGCTCCGTGCATCACGCTCAAGACCGCTTGCACGCGTTCTGCAACTTTCAGGCGTTTCCAGGATAGCAGACCACGGGCATATAGCCAACACGTCTGCAATTGCGTCCGCCTTGCCTTCGGACGTGACCGCGAGTGCGCACGCCCATCTCGGTCCAGACCCATTCGTCAAGCACACAAGCACACATCGGTCAGCCGCAACTTCTGCTTCCACAAGCAAGACCCGGGGCCCACATGCGTCAGCCGCACTCGCTGCGTAGGCTTTGATGCCCGTACTTACTAGAAAACGGTGAGTCCGAGCTTAGGGAGGGCCAGCGAAGGGGAGACGGGGTGTAAGATTTAGGCTGAAGCCTTCTATCTGTGTTCAAGGCATTGGAAATCCCGACGTGTTGGCGACTGCAGAACGAGATATTCTGGATGATTGCGCTGCGACTGTGTAGGATTGGGTCTGTTGAACACCAGCCGAGATGTAGTGAGGACGGACTCTCTTTAATAGCCCCTTCCTATGACTCGATAGGTTTTGCTGTGTATGGATCACTTCGATGGTGTCGATTCTGCAAAGGAACACGTATTTGTGCGTATTCGTATTGATCAATGTACTCGTGGGCGACCTCGCTGTAGACGCGCACCTTCGGTGAGCAGCGTGGCAAGGTAGGTGCGCGCGCTGTTAGGTTGTTTACGAGGGGTGCTGCGATAAATGCTATTGGATGAGTTTATCATGATTGTTCTGAGATCAACGGTGTAGCAGAGAGGTTGACTGGCAATCCCGAGGAATAGGTTCATTTGTGAGTCTGCTCTATGTGTATCCGATGAATGAGCGCATAGTTTGACGTAGACCACTAGCCTGGACCAGACTTCGCATGAGATACAGCCGTCCACGTAAGGCCTAGCTTCGAGGTCCACCCTCAAGTTTACATCAAATTGAGATGATGACATTGACATTGACATCGCAAGATAGGACGGCCGTGTCAGGATAAGCCGGGTAGTAAGGAGAGCACTCATGCTGGCGATGGAATCATCTGGCATATACTATAGTACAGCTGAATCAAATCCCTTCACGTCATCTGGACATCGTATAGATAGCCCGTCTAGAAATGGAGACATGGTCCTACGCAGAAAGACACTATAAACCCGTACGACGAACATAGCTTCAAAATCAACAGACGGCGCGCTTCCTCAGCTGGATGGTCCCGCCAATAGGAGGAAGGACAGCCAGGGAGACGTAGACGTTCGGGGGCCTCTGTGGTCTAGAACAACAGTCCTCGGTTTCGGGGAGTTTGAAGTCGTAGTTAAGAATGATGTACGAGAGGACCGCCTTGAGTTGGTTCGCGGCGAAGTGCCGCCCTGGGCTGCGATACAGATGAATGGATGGATCAATCACTTGTTAGTTCCGTCAAGGATTTGTTGAAGACGAGGAAGAAGCCTCACCAAGCAAGTTGGCCATGTCCAAACGCTATGTACTCTGAGGAGGTACTGGCAAACTGGAGTCTCGCAGAGCCCTCGGAGCCGTTGGCTTCGCGCATGCGCGCAAAGCGAAACGGCTCGAAAATCTCTGCGTTCGGGAGACGCCCGTTATCGTAATGCGTCGGATGTGCAGCAGCGCCTAGGAGAGTGCCCTTGGGAATGAACATGCCGTTGGCGAGCACGATGTCTTTCATAGCGATTCGCATCATGGAGGCTGTCAGGCGGTCGATGTCAGGCGCGGCGTGGGACGTATGGTCAGCCTTAAAGAAAAAGAGGAAAAGTACACACCGAGGGTAAATCCATTGTAACGCTGGGACTCCCGAAGAAGGCTGTCAAGCTTCCACATCCTGGCGAAGGAGGACATCGTCCATCCTTCAGTTTCAATACTGGCTTCGATCTCCTCCCGAAGCGGACCGAGGAGCTCTGGTTGTTCGGCAAGATGGTACAGTACGTGAGTGATGCTCTGTCAGAGTGAAGCTGCTTCAGCAGGAAGTGAACAGAGAACGGCAAGAGATACATACACTGGAGGAAGTGTGGATGGCGGCTAGGTTCAACAATAACAATCTCTCCACAATGTCTGCATCAGACTCCTGTTTGGCAACCGCTTTGTCCATAATCCATTGCAAGACATCCTCCTAACACGAGCCATCAATCCACCTAGGTTCCATATAGCAAACACGGCTTCCTACCGGTTTGTCAGGCCAATCTGTGCCGAGCTCTTGCATGGCCGTCCGGCGCTCCTGGATGATCGGCCGGAGGTGCCGTAGAGCACGCTCGGTAGTCCGTCTCACTTTGCTGACGATTGGAGCTGCAATTCTACCGAGATCCATTATCAGAGGATAGTAGCGCACACATGAAGTATGGCTACTGACGGTTTGAGAATGTCAGGGAAGAGGAAAAGCACAGTTCCGGCTTTGACGATCTCGACGGCAAATTGGACGGAGACATCATTGTATTCTTCATTCAGGCCTGTGGGTTAGACGCATATGAGATCTCAGTTCCAACATTCCTTGCAGGAGCGCGGGATAAGATCAGAATAGGGTTGAAGAAGCAGCTTGTTCTAATCGACGTCTCCCAAGTGTACGTACATAATGGTGATCCGACAAATACACGGTTGCTTGTGCGCGCTACGACTTTCAAGGCGGCTGCTAGGACATCAACACTAGTCCACTCTTTTCCCAATTGTCAATCATGAGATGAGCGAGATCCGGCATAGGAATACGAGCGGCACGCACGCACCATGATCCGTAACAGGCATATATTTCTGTACCGTTGGGGGGACCTCTTCAATCAAGCTTGGCATTACATTTGGAAGCAGCCGGTTCTGAAGTTTCTCCTTCACGACGACAACATGGTACGGATCATCTTGCATCTTCCGACCAACGGTGTACTTGTACTGTAGTAACTGACAGGAAGGTCAACGAGAGGGGCTCACAAAACATCTCATGAGAGAACTAGGAGGACATACCGTTTGGACAGTCTCCGTGAAGGACAATTCGTCTTCCGGCCGTCTCCTGATGTCTTCGATCATCTTTGGACCTGAGATAATGACCATCCATCGATCTAGTAGCGCAACTTTGAAGGCAGAGCCATAATACTGAGAGATAAGCGGCAAGTGGTTCAGAAACACGGTCTGTCGGGAAGGAAGGAGAGAGGGATGTACTTGTCTGTAGCCCTCCTGGAGGGTCTCCCTCCCGCGCCGAATGAAGGAGAGCGCAGCGAGATACGACAACCAAGTCGAACTTGAGAATCGCCCAGCAGTGGGGATGTCATTTAGCTGAAAGCAGTCCACTTAGCCGCACTTGACTATGTATGCGTGCACGTATCACTCACCGGATTGATGTTCCACCTGAAGATAACGATTCCAAACAATATACCGACACAGACAAACGCCCAGGGCTGACCTTGAGCTTGATCCATCGTTTCGGAAAGGGAAGGGGGTACGAGCCGTACAAGAGCAGCGATGGAAAGCAAAGCCGTCGAGCTTATATATCCATGCATATTGGCGCCTTTACACAGGGGGCTTGTCGGTCCTTGGTGATTGGTCTGGAGTCCACGAGGCCTATCTTGGTCAAGTTGAGGCACCCTGCTGCCGACAAACCCTATCGCAACCTGGGCAGGGATATCCCTGCATTCTTCCAGCACAACGTGTACGGCTTCGCCGGTTTGTAACGGAAGCGTGTTGTTCAAAGGACGTCTCCGGAGTTCCGTAGGAGCTGAACCTGAAGAGCCGATCGGCGTGCAATGAGTCGTACGCGGGTGTCACGCACATGAAGGTTTGACCCTATTCAGCATCGGAGGAGAGGGTCGAACGAGTGCTTGTCAAACCATCGCTGACAGGGAAGTGCTTGAGTACCTGAGCGATACGCTCATTCATGAGCAGTGCCATAGAAGGGGATGGGGGACGTCATACTTGTCTTCGTGCAAGGATGCGCAACGTCGACCGAGGACCTCCGGCGATACCGGAGTTAGCAATTCCCCCAATGATAGCATGGACCAACTCCGCAATGCTTACAGTAGTTTGAGAAAATAGTTCGCTATTCGTTGAAAGCAACGCTCCGTCCATCGATTGCACGACTGAGAAAAACCTTGTGTGGGCGCATCGCCGTACCAATCGGAAAGTCAGCCAAGGCGTCTTCAAATTTCATATGGTCGCCTAGATAGACCTCTTCGTGATCTTCACGAACCGTGACACATTCGTCTGTGAATCATGTCTGTACCGCTGACATGAAGGAAGTGAGATGATATCACTGTATTGAGAATGTACCATGTAGCATGCACAGGCTTCGTTATCGTAGCAGCTGCCTCAAATGGATCAGCAATACGACCGGCTTCGGGCGTTAGTGCGCTCTTCTGTTTCCCCACCAAAGTCCTTCAGTTGCTCGGCACAGAAACATGGCGTAAGGATGAGCGATATGACGCTAGTGGATGCTATGGTCAGCCAGCCCTCCTACTAGCGTCATCAGTACGTACCCTGCTTCGGATTACAACGGGGTCCATACTCGAAATTCAGCGCCATTTCTCAAGCGCCGCTAACTTCGCCATGGTGTTGGGTCGATATCGTGACAGTGATTTCACACATCAGTCGAGTCCTTGAGATCTGCCCACTTGATGATATCCACCGGAGAGACGGAGGAGGTGTGTGGTGGCAATAGTGAAGGACAGAGGGGATGCACAGCCACCGACGCTGTCGCGGCAAGTCCTCGCCGACCTCCCTCCTAAGTTCTTGGGACCCCACAACTTGATTTGGCGAAGCATTTTATAGTCACCTACTATCGAGAGCGAAGGCGCGAGGCAAACCGCCACGCTCCGCGCACAGCTTGCGAGATACAACGTTACTAAACAACAACCGGTGGTACAACGGAGCTCGTGCCGCGCCCTGGAGATAGGGAGGCTGGGTCGCGCGTCGCGAGTTATACATAGTTGAAGATACCTACCCAACTAGTGTAGTGAAGTGGAGTAGCTTTCGGAACATCTAGAGGGAGATAGGGACAACTAGGATAGCTATTCAGGAGAGAACTACTGTATGCATGTCTATATCAGTAGAAGATGCAAGCTGGAGATAGCGCACAGATAGGGACTAGTTGTGGGGATAGATGGAGGGATGAAGGGTAGCAGAAGAAGATGAGAAGGGTACGGCCAGAAGGAACAAATGGACGGTTGCTGTTCCGTTGACAGTGCGCGCTGCTCGGGCCTTGCCCGCAGAATTCGACGCCGCGGCGCCACGGAGCTTATACTGCCCAGTCATCGCCTCTGGACGTTGATGGAGGTCCAGATACGTGGCTGAGTGAGCCCCAAGGGAACAAACCGTCGACGAGGGATCTGTCTAATGGGAGCCCCCAACGTGCATGACGGGTGGGGCGCTGTGCAGCACGAGGTCTCCATGGCGGATGAGGTACTTCCGGGCGCCATGTAAGACAGGAGCGCGGCATTCTTGGGGAGGCCATCGAACACGTCCTTCATCGCCCAAGTGCCGTCCGCACGCCCTCGATTTCGAGACATTTGGCCGAGGACGAATCGAAGTTGACGCAGCCGAGAGAGCCGCAAGACGCCATGTAGGTCATGAGGCGACGGACTTCGTGGGGCTACTACAAAGAGGGAGATGAGTAGACATGAAAGCCGCCGAGATATAGAAGACGAAGACAGAGAGACGCACGTCAATACCGGCACTGCTGGCTAACCTGAAGTTGATGCTGCCGGCGTTAGCGGAAGCGATTTCTGCGACCTGCCGAGCACCTTGGCAGCAAGTCGGATCCGCGCTCGACGTTTTATGGACAGGGACTGAGTCGATACTCTTGATCGGCGACTGGTCCGTACGTAAACGCACTGGCAGGAGGCATTCATTCAGTACAAACTGGAGGGAGACCGTGACGAGGGGACTTATCGCTGTTGCTGTTGAGAGCGATGTTCTGGTACATCTCCCCATAGACTAAGATGGTGACTAAGGCATGGTCTGCGACAAGCAAGGAGGGAGAGGAAACCAGCCAAGAAAGCATTCAGGTTGTCAGCGAGCGCGCGTAGTGGCGACGCAAAAGTCCGAGAGGCGCCTAAGATGCGTTGGGCGGACTCCAAAAAGCACATGTTTTCGTGGGGAATAACGAACCATTGGGTCCTGCAATACTCTGGCCTAGGAAGCAGGGAGGATTCGACGCTCACTAGTCGTTTCGTTTCACACATACCGCCCTCTCGTTCTCCAGTCTCGCCTAGGTGGGACCCATCATAGCAGAGAGCTGACGAACCGTAGGACGCAGACGGTGGCGGAGGGACATTTTTCCGAGTCGAATGAGGGATATTGATATGTTCTGCAGGCGGTGGCCAGTCTGCCATGATCACGGGTCGTGTGAGCCGGCCTCGGGTCCGGCAGATACCTGTACGGGTACGGGTCGTACTTCGGTCAATCCGATCAGAATTTGCACTCGACAGAGCGTACCGGCAAAGCCGTCGACGAGGCGCAGCTTCGTTATGCTGTGATAGCGAGGGCCTCGTAAATTGAAGTAACACAGCACAGGTGTTCTTCGTGCGTCGAACCTGGACATCCAACGACCACCGCCGGGAATATCAGCGTGAGCAGCCACTGAGAACCACTGTATATTCCCGAGGAGAGGGGCTGTGAAGAATGGTAAAGAATACCCGATAACCGCATTGGTGCTGCTGTTCGCGATTGGGCTCTTGTCGCAGCAATGGCTCCTCGCTTGTCACTGGGGATACTCTTTACACAGAGAAATCTGACGGTGTCTCCGATGGAAACCTCTTAGGCTGTGACCTTGACCCCTAGAGATAGTTTACCCTACCTTTGACCCGTAAGTAACATTTGCGCGCGGGTCAGGTCGAAATGTGCACATATCGACCTGTGTGCATGCTTTGTAGCCACAGTGCCTAATCTGGAAAGGAGCGTACGCAACACCGACATCAGCGAGGATCGGAACTATAATACGCACACAATATGGCAAACTCAGTCATCCTTCCCACCCCTTTCCAGGACAAACCGAACCGCGTCTCGACGCCTGAGTCGGCTGCGCGCGGTCGGCCCGGGGAGCTGCCACGGAGTCTCGAGCTTCTCGAGTAATAAATGATAAGTCAGCTTCCCTTGGCGATCATGGTTCTGCGCTTTGAATTGTACTTCGCGGTCATAAAATTGCTTGGAGCCGAAACCTCCGCTGTAGACCCGCGGTGCTCGTGGGGCGTCAGCATGTACAGGCGTCCAGCGGAGATGTTGAAGGCGCTCCAGAATTTTGGAAAGAAGCTCTAAGCGCAGGGAGAAGGCAGCAACGGAACATTCGGATGGACAATCAAAGCGATGGGCTTTGCCTAGACTTGGGCTTGACCGCTTGGCTTCGGCCGAATACGTATCTTCTGGACCGACATGCTACCTGCAAGACATCGTGAGGTGTCTACGGGGAGGATTCATGCTGCAGACGTACCATACGACGTCCATCGGCCATTCCGGAGTAGGGCCCAAGGTATTCCCTTCCCCGTATACTGGCGCGTCTGCACGTCTGGGATGATCAACGCGGCGCTAGGTAGGATTAACAAACATCTCGCGCTCGAGCTCCGTGTCCAGGAGCACGCTGCATGCCGAGCGGGGAGTAGCGCCTCTGCACCTTGTCCATGTCAAGTGATAAGCAACTTACAGCGCTTTCCGCAACGATAGGCTCTCGCTCGAAGAACATGCCCATTTTCGCTGGGAGCCAAATCAAATGCGAGGCTGATAAGGTGTGTAGTCTGCCTCACTGCCAGTGGGCGCGTCGCTCAACCTCGGTGTTACACTTAAGGCGTATTGAGGGACGGATAGGACCAAACCGTGCGAGCGTTTTGAGAGGGGCTATAGATCGGCAAACCGCTGTGTCCACGTCCGATACGTCTTCCTTGCCATCTGCCCTCCTGGGGCGATCTGCTGGAGTCCCTCAGCGCGCCTACGACTCAGGTGTGCGGAGGCTCACGAATCTTCAGCAACAACCTCGCAAGCAGCACATTGGTGAGACAAGTATATAGTCCGATGAGTGTGGCTCGGATTGTGTGTTAGAAGATACCTATGAAGGATGTAGCAGGCGAGTCAGCTGTGACTCTGACATGCGACTGGGACAGAGCACATTGCGACCTACATGGGATCTTTTCGCACAGATAGTCCCCGTTTCGGCTCCTCCAAACATTGAGGTGCTTGACTACGGTCCCTTCAAGACGTGACCTCGAAGGTACTCAGCTTAAGAAGCAATGAACACAACAGTGTTCTTGCGGTCCTCGTGGTTTGGAAGAGCACTATGTGCGCCGCTACGGAGTACCCCATAGGCTAATATGAAAGAGTATGAATGGTGATAGGTAACTGAGTTTGGGAGACTCCCTCGTTTTCAACTTCCAGCAAGCAGTGGCCGAGCGTAAAGGTGGAAGGATGGGTCGGCGGTTGCCGAAGCAATACCGCTTGATTTTCCCGGGCTGTGATTGGCTGGTACAGGGCGCAATACAGTCGACACCCTCTTAACCCATAGCCCTCGGGACAGGCCCAAATATATGGGTTTTGAGGGGTTATGGGCTACCAGAACTTTAGCGCCTCATAAGCGCCCTGATAAGTCCCAGTTAGCGAGGGCTGAACAGGCGTCTACTGACCCTTTGAGGGAGCGCTATGGGATTTCGAACACACTAACCTACCCACAACATGGTCGAAGCGTGGATGGACACTGGGAGGACACTGGGAAGAATGTGTCAAGTATTTTGTGGGTTATTGGTGAGCGAAATCTCAGTGTGACCACTATTACCGTATGGGTTTTGAGCCCTAGAAGGCTATGGGTTATGGGGTATTGGGGACCTATGGGTTATGGGGTCGAATTCCCCCTATCCCGACTTGGGAAAGCCAAAATCCTATGGGTTTTCGGAGTTTATGGGTTACCAGGGGTATGGGTTAGGAGGGTGTCGACTGTATACATATGTGACCGGTGCGGTCCTCGTCGAACATCCGCCCGGCGATGGCGCACGACGCATCGCTCAGCCCACACGCTCTCGCCTCTCATCCACGACTCCTTGCTCAATATCCGACATACGGTCTCGAGGATACTGCACAGATCTGCTCTCTTGATTCCCTCATACTTGCCTCAACAGTATCACCTTCCTCCCCGGCTCTCTCATCGGCCTCAGCTTCGGCCTGGGGCTGATCACAGCTGCTCCCATCTATCCTGAGATGTCAATCTGCAATGCGACCGGGAAGCTCCCTCAACATGCTTTTGTTCAGGTGGAGAACGAGCCTGGAACGAGCGAACGCATGCTGATCATGCTCCTCATCTTCGCTGTCTCTCTTGCCGGTACGTCTGCCCCTGTATCGTCCGCTCAATCGCAATGAGCTCATTACGGGAGTACGCGCTTGCTCTTGACGTTCAGCTGTCTCCTTTCCCACCGTCACTGCAACCTTCCGCTCGATCCGCGTACCCAGCATCGCCTTCTTTATCGGCAAGCACTTTGGGACGGGGGTCATCCTCTCAACGGCCTTCGTGCACCTCTTGCAGGATGCGTTCAAAGCACTGCAGAAACCCATCGTCAACGAGCGATGGAAGGTTGAGAAATGGGCAGGGCTTATAGTGTGAGTCCTCCGTTTCTCGTTCACTCTGAGCGACACGCCACAATCTCCCACACGCTCTACCCATCGCTCTCCACGGAGCCTCTGTCCTTTATGGGAACTGGTGTGCGGCAACACGGGCATTGTATACGGCTCATGATCCCCAGCTGTTACGACGCTGTGATGAACGTATGTCGCGCCTTTGTGGGCACAAACTTGTTTTCGGGCGAGTGTGGGACAGCCTATGACGCAATTTGCGTCTTAGTCTGGTACGGCTGCTGCGACTGTGGCCTTAGCGTACAGCATGCTTGCTAGCTGCATTTAGTTCTCAGGGTCCCTCATACCTGCTCAGGGATCCTGCATTGCCTCCTGTCCCGCATGCAGAGTATGTGCAATGCATGGAAGCCGATCTGGAAGGGCGACCCAGTGCGGCACACGTTCGCATCACTCAACGTGAGGGCAGTAACCTACCCAAATCTAGCTAGACTCCTGCCGTTCTAGCTCTTGGATTGTCAGCTTCGTGACGAAACAAGGACTTACAACTCTATGTGATAGCCTAGGATCCCTCCTCAGCATCTTTCTTGTCGAATGTAAGCAGCAGACCATTCATATCGCCTCACGCACTACCGCTGATACCCTTTTCGCACCATCAGACATCTCGACAGCCTTTGTGGACCGCCTTCAATCGTATCCCTCCGCTCCGTCCACCCCAACCGAATCGGTCGTAGCGTCTCCCGCGGCCTCCATCCGGGAACTAGCCCTCGACACACCTCAATCCCTCTCGGCGGTACTCGTCCAAAGTCCGGATGGCACACACAATACGTGGCTCGAGGGCCTTCCCGCCACTGGCGACCAGACCAAGCATCAGGTCGGGGAGTTCGACGCGCGCGGCCATCCTTCCGGCGCGCCGCTCCCCCTCGCGCCGCCCGAGCTTGTCAACGAAGAGGCGCAGCCGCCCAAGTCCCACAACACGTACTCCCCACCTCAGTCCCTGGCCACGAACGAGCGCACCCCGCTCCGCTCTTCTACGGACCCTCACCCGTACTCGCATCCGCAGTCCCATATACACCGAGACGTATCTGAACCTCAGCGCAGCTACGGCGCGACGCACCCGCGCGCTGTTCCTGCACCCCCTCCTTCGGCGGGTAGGTCGCCAGCGCGCCCGGGGATCAGGCACACACACGTCTCTGCGCCTCCCGCAGGAAACGAGTTCTTCCAGGGGGGCCACCACAGACACGAGCCGCGGGACTCGCATGCGAGCCACCACACGCGGGTGTCTCGCTGGCGGTGGCTGGGCATCGCCTTCCCGTGGTATAACGGGAGTGGGGATGATGCGGCGGACGGGGACGCGGAGCACTCGCATGCGCATGTGCACTCCGAGCATGTCCCTCGTGTTTCGAGTAACAAGCCAGTAGTGGCGGCGGCAGTCACCCCGAAGAGCGGGCACAGTCACCATAGTTCACCTTCACATTCGTACTCCAGTTCGGGCTCGGGTTCGCGGCCTAGTCGGCAGCACAATGGGCACCAGCACCAGGGGCACGCGCATATGGACATGGAGCGGTGGATGAGTGGGATCGATGGGGCAGCTGAGGATAATGGACATGGGCATGGGCATGGGCATGGGCACGGGCACGGGCACATGCATAGCGGGGGTGTCGACGAGGAGTGCGCGCCTGGAGGAGTGGACGGTGGAGAAGCGGCGGAGGTGACGAAGGTGGGGAGGCGCAGGCAGGTGATCGGGATCCTGGTGCTACAGTTGGGCATCATGATCCATTCGCTGGTCATTGGACTAACGCTGTCAATTACGGCTGGTTCGGAGTTCAGTACGTCGTTTTCCTTCCGTTGTGTAGTGGTGCGCAGATACATGTGCTGACTACTCCACAGCGTCGCTCGTGATCGCGATCGTCTTCCACCAGTTGTTCGAGGGACTCTCGTTGGGGATCAGGATAGCTGCGCTGCCGTCGTCTCATCATGAACGTACGTACACATCGACCTTCCTGGAACATGAGAAGGAGAAGAGGTGGAGCTGACTTGACTCTTACAGATGGCATCCGCCATCTCCCTGGACGCACCCTCAAGCCTCTACTCGCCATCGCATTCGCTACGACGACGCCCCTGGGCATCTTCCTCGGCCTACTGACTATCTCCGGCCACTCGCGCGGACGTACGTCCTCTCATGTCTTCCGTCTCACGTTGCATCACGCATATACTAACCCGTTCTGGGACATCGCACACAGCGAAACTCATACTGGTACAAGGCGTAATGTCCGCGATCTCGGCAGGGATGCTGATATACGCCGCATGCGTCGAGATGCTCGCGGGAGACTTCGTCATGGACGCGCACCTGTGGCGAAGCAGCGTCAGGAGGCAGGTGCTCGCGCTCGTGAGCTTGTTCGCGGGTGTGACCGCCATGGCGGCCATCGGGTGAGCTCATCGCGCTTTCTTCGACCCGGGAGAAGAGAAATTCTGACCGCACGTGTCTTGTGCCCGTCTCCGTTTCGATCGTCGCGCTTACGTAGATTGTGAGTCTGTTCGCCTCTAATGTGCCTGAGCGCATGTACTCACGGACATTCTTAGCCTGGATTGAGAGACTTCGCCTTGGATAACGTACGAACTCTCGATCTCCATTGCGCCATCCGGCTTTATGTAATATCATATTGTAGTGTAGGGTAGACCTCGACGATATCGGACACCGTAGGATAGAACCGCCGTAACAGGATTAGCGGAATAGTATATGAGCACATGAGTGCATGCTGCAGAACGATTCACATTCATGCAATCCTGCATGAACTCACGCAGCACGAATAGCATAAACCGGCCAAAGCCCACGTATGGGCATCTACGTTCTTATGTAGTAGCTGTGCTCCAGATAAAACTTGTATTTGGAGCGCCTATGTTCGGCAATATCGCGCTCTCAGAAGGTCGGAGACAATATAGCATATGTATAAATTCAACTGTTGAGAACGAAGATTGAAAATCCGAATAGGCACCCCTCATCGAGCAAGGATACAAAGTATGGCGGGGGCCACCAAAAATTCACCGAATCATAGTGTCAAAGTCAACGTCGCTTATGCGGAGATGACTCGGACACAATTGTACTGTAACTGCGACCCAGTTGGGCACGCTGCTGCTGCGTGCTTCAGTGTTCATGCAACCAGCTACGCCCCGTCGTTATCTCTCTGGCTGGAGCGAAACCTTCGCGACATGTAATATCCTACAAGTATCTCGTCTGGGCGTGGGGCATGATCTTACGAAGACAGGCGCTGTAAATCAGCACCACGGCCATTGTCCGAACTTCATACCGCGGCGCGCTTCCTAAACTGGATGGTCCCACCGATGGGAGGGAGGATGGCTAGGGAGAGGTAGACGTTCGAGGGCCGCTGCGGCCGCGGGCCATCGTCCTTGCTGTTGGAGAGCTTCAGGTCGTAATTGAGTATAATATGCGAGAGTATCGCCTTGAGCTGGTTCCCGGCAAAATAACGCCCAGGGCTATGATAAGGTTAGATGGATGCGGCCGGCAATGCTGCAAGTTAGCGCTGCTCGGGGTCTATATGATGATTGGAGGAGAAGCGCACCACGCAAGCTGTCCGTGGCCGAAAGGGAGGTACTCTGGGGAGGTGCTGGAAAACTGGAGCCGCGAGGAGCCCGAGGAGCTACCGGCTTCGCGCATGCGCGAAAAGCGAAACGGGTCGAACAGGTCCGCATTGGGGAGATGTGCGTTGTCGTGGTGTGCCGGATGCGCGGCTGCGCCGAGGAGCGTGCCTTTGGGGATGAACGTGCCGTTGTCGAGCACGATGTCTTTCATCGCGACTCGCATCATGGATGCTACATGGTGTTTGAGTGCTTAGTCTGGTCACTTGCAAGCATGGGATAGGCGGAGTGCGTACCGAGAGTAAACCCGTTGTAGCGCTGGGATTCGCGGAGAATACTGTCAAGCTTCCACATCCTGGCGTAAGCGGACATCGTCCATCCCTCTGCATCAACACTGGCTTCGATCTCTTCCCGGAGGGGTTCGAGGAGCTCTGGCTGCTCAGCAAGATGATACAGGACATGAGGGACGCTCTGCCGGAGAGAAGCATTTTAGAAGAGGGTCTGAGCCTAACGTGTGAGGAGGTACGTACGCTGGAGGATGTGTGAATGGCAGCCAAGTTCAGCAGCAACAATCTCTCGGTGATATCTGCGTCGGTCTCATCCTTGACCACAGCTCGGTCGATGATCCACTGCAGAACGTCGTTCTACGACACGTTAAGATGTGGTGTCAGATTCAAGGGCAGTCACATCACAATTTAGTCCCTTACTGGCTTGTCAAGCCACTCTTTACCCTGCTGATGCATAGCCGTCCGGCGCTCCTGGATGATCGGCCGGAGGTGGTGTAGAGCGCGCTTGGTTGTTCGTTTCACCTTGCTGACGAATGGGGCCGCGAGTCTGCCATGACGCGGTATCAGTAAATATATTGGAGAGCTCCTGTGGAGCTTGACAACTGACGGTTTCAGTAAGTCTGGGAAGAGGAAGAGGGCCGTTCCAGCCTTAACAATTTCGATGGCAAATTGGGCGGAGGTGTCGTTATACTCTTCACTCAGGCCTGGGATTGGACGCATCTCAGTAAAAAAAAACTCCGACATAGTGAACGTGAGACAATCCAACCGGGACGTTGGAATGGAGTTGTACGACCATTTGAATCTATCCCGACGTCCCTGTGAGTGTTTAAAGCCTTACTCACATAATGGCGATCCGACAAACACGCGGTTACTGGTGCGGGCAACGATCTTCAAGGCAGCGGCCGAAATGTCGACGGTAGTCCATTCTAGTGACAGTCGTCAGAAGACACAAGGTATAGCAACACTAGTATCACGCACCTTCATTTGTAGTGGGCAAATATTTCTCCACCGCTGGAGCGACTTCGTCGATCAAGCTGGGCAATATAAACGGGAGCAGGCGATTTTGGAGCTTCTCCTTCACGACGACGGTATGATATGGATCGTCTTGCATTTTCTGACCGACAGTATACTTGTACTGTAATATCTATCCGAAACGTTAACAAGACCCACAGCGCACAAGAGGGCTATGAACACATACAGTTTGCACGGCCTCGGTGAAGGACAGCTCGTCCTCAGGCCGCCGCCGAATGTCTTCAACCATTTTCGGGCCTGAAAAGATGACCATCCATCGGTCGAGCAAGGCGATCTTAAACACAGAGCCGTAGTACTGGAAGGGGCATGGCACGGGGTTGAGATATGGCGTCGAGAGTTAAATGAAGTGGGGCGTACCAGTCTATAGCCTTCTTGGAGCGTCTCCTTCCCGCGACGGATGAAGGCCATCGCAGAAAGATATGACAACGCGGGAGTCGAGAAGTTGCCGACGGTGGGAATGTCGTTCAGCTTGACGTATACAGTCCAATTAGCTGCAGTCTACAATGTCTGCGTGCATACATACTCACCGGGCTGATGTTCCACCGAAATACTACAAGTACAATCAATACACCAACACAAATAAACGCCCAGGGTTGGCCTTGATCCATCATCGCGGGAAGTAGAGGGTAGGACGGCAGGATATATGTCCTGATATGACAGAAAACTTGTAAGCCGCCAAGGCTATATATCTAGAGGGAGGAGCGCTTATACGATGGGCACCCCCGAGTCAGTCAATCACTAACGGTCTAGAGGCTATGATACTCACTATGGCCAAGCTCGGGCACTCTGCCGCCGACAAAACTCTATCTTGACATAACAACGATGCCCTTACCCCCCACCTTGCCCAGGGTTTGTCTACATTGTCGCCCCCTTGTCGGTGCAGCGGACTCTGCACGAGCGCTACTCTAGCATGATTTACCGACCTGAACAGCATCGGTGAGAAGGGCCAAACCAGAGAGCATGTCAAACCATCGTTGACGGGGATTGGCGTAAGCGCCTGAGCCAAGAGCTCGTTTTGTGTAGCCGTCGGAATAGACGGTGAACGAGGATGTCGCGTTGGATTTCTGCAAGGGTGCGCTGCTACCACTCACGGAGTCCGGAGGCGCTGTCGGAATATGTCCGGAATCTCTATGATCCAGCTCTGCGGGACTGACGGGACATTCAAGCAACACGTCACTACCTGTGAAAGACCATGCTTTGTTCATTTACTTGGGGACAATCAGACTAACAACTCACCTCCGGCAAAGTCCACTACGTAGACATTGACGTAGCAAAACCTGTTGTGTGCGCTCTGGCACCGCCTGCACCGGGTGTATTTGCAAGGTTCACTTTCTCGCTTGGACAGATCCCGGGACAATGCAGCTCTGAAAATCGGCACGACGCATCCGTCCTGGATACATGCGTGCGACGCCAAGATAGAAGGTGCGAGAAGACAGTCGATCGGTGGCATAAGCCTAGACGTGACGCAGCTGGTGGAAAACATGCCAGATAGCCTCAATGGGCATGGGCATCACTCAAGTCAATAGCGGATTCTTCGACAAGATCAGCTGCACGCCACAACGAGATTGTTGTACCCCTCTGTTTCCGCCCTCGGGTCCCTGAGCTCCACGTATCTTCTTCTTGTCAAGGTTTCTCCAGGGCGCTTCGAGGATGCTGGCGGAAGACGTTTGAGAGATAGCTGGCAGGACTGCCGTCACTGATAATGATACGGACATACCGTCCTTCCGATAACGATGCGGTCGGTGCTCGACAGGGGGCGAGTCTCGAGCACGTCATCTCCGCCAAGAGCGTTTGACGGTCGGGACCGGGGTCGACAATTTGAAGCTGTGGTAGAGTGCTTGCAATCCGCGGACTGGATTCGTCGTCATCTTGAGGACCAGAGGACGTGGCCTGTGGCGAGCGTTTAAAAGACTGGTATTTTCGTCGTTTCTCTCTCGGGGCGTGCAGTCTGAGACGCAGACTGAGGCACGAGCATGATCTTGCCATTGGACTGATTTGTACATTCCCCGATCGATGAACCCTACTTGAGGGTTTCATACGTTTAGCGTTCACGTCTCCCGAGGACTTACGGTCGGTTCCGCTGAAAGACTTTCCGAAGATTGTTGGACGTTGAACGGTGAGCTCTGACCTGCAGTTTTGTGCACTAAAGACGAGACAACACCTGGCGCTGGTCTGGATAAATCTCATTTAAACGCCGCATATTGGAACCGCGTAGAGCTAGAAAACACGTCAACATCAGAACGGCGTTACGTTGGACTCGCGTCTGTGCCTGACATACCTGTGCCACCCGATGTACCTCCTGCGCTGTTGAGCAGCTCAGCGCCAAGACGCGCAGGGTACCGAAGAAGGATGGTTCTGTGCTGCAGATATGCCCCCTCGCTCACCTCAGATTCGGTCTTGTGGCGGGTGGATAAACGGTTCATACACTGCCTCTGCCCGACTATCCCCACCATGACCGCTAGAATCATAGCGGGCGTCTAGACGGACAGCGGGCTGCTACCTAGCGTAAGCCTCGTTCCCAGGCTCTCGCCCCCTCCATCTCTGCTCCACTCTTCATCTCCGCTCTGCATGCCTCGGCAGGCCGTAAAGCAAGCGTCTGTGAACTTCCTGGTGTGCATCTGACAAGGTAGAGCCATATTACGACGTCGGCATCCTACCAGTTGCGCGCATAGCAGCGTTGCCGCTACTATTTCTGGTGCATGTTCATATCTTGATTGGACAATGCGTCTCGACCTCCGGCGGAGACGGAGGTTGCGGGACTGAGGTGGCGGGCGGGATTGACTAGCATTTCGAGTCTGTCGCTGTGAAGCGTACGCGACGCTATGATTCGCTGGTGACGCCGTTCGTAAAGCCGCGTACCGTTGTTGTGGGACTATGTGACTAAGACTATTCCATCCTGTGGGTCTTCTCTTGTTCTTGTGCGTTAGTCACTTAATGGAGTGTCATATGTTGTGGACGAAGATTTGCCGAACCTTCTTCGGGGATAAGGCCCATTTCACTGCTTCCGCGCGGCGCCGGTGCGGTATTTGTGGGGCAGAGGGCGATGCTGTCTTCACCTACCTCGGGTATCTGCAGAGCTCATGACAGTTTTGCTTGAGTTCCCCGTGTCCGCAATGGATAGTTTCAGCTCGGCCAGACACGATTCCCACGGCCGCCGATTGGAGGGCTGATTCCTAGCTAATCAGAGCAGCGAATCATTGAGGAGGGTGCGGGCTCTGCAAGGACGACCGCACTCTGCGGGGAAACGGACATGCTGGTCTCAAGAAGACGAGAGAGGGGGGCGCGGTGGGCCACTACCGCTGCTCGCTAGGATACATGTCTCGTAAGTTCTTACATCGTATGTATGAGATACGACTCGTGGCCCACTACCCCCAATACGGGGCCCCTAGTGCGACGGTTCGTTGTCGACCATTATCACCATCATCATCACCACCATCATCATCATCAGAGTGAGGCACAACGCAACATATTTGACAAGCGACTATGCAGTATACCAAGTACTTTCCGGAGTAAAGGCACGGAGCGCGGGGCCGTTGCGTTCGACGTACAACTACTGAGAGTGACACCCATATACTGACACAACGCCTGGGGGACAGGCCCGAACGTGCGTCGCGCGCCGCAAGCTATGGCTAGGGACATGATCCGACCCAATTGGTAGCGTAGGAGATAGCCTTTCGGAACATTGAGGGAGTGATAGCAATCGTGATAGCTTTTTGCGGAATTAGATAGGGAGGTCTATATCCGGGAAAACTGCGACTAAGGAGATAGGAGGTAGTGACGAGGAAGAAGGGAAGGGAGACGGAGGAAGGTGAGAAGTAGGTAGAAGATGAGAAGAAGGTGGAAGGTGAGAAGGACCGCGGACGCTCAGAGCGCGTGCATGACCCGGCTGACCTGGCCGGAAGGAAAGTCATCAGGAAAAACCCCCTCAGCTAATCGAGCTAAGCGAGCTAATTTAGCGCTAAAAAGAGCTATTAGTCCATTAGTCCCATTATTTTAGTCCCCTACTAATTTAGAGCCATTACTTGCGTTACTGACGCAGCGGCAGTCGTTCGGGATCTTCAAGCATCCATTCATGCAGTCATAGGTGTTATATAGACGATGATCTGATTCACTTGGAGACAGTACATATTACAAGACTATGTATATACGTTTACGACCTCCTAGATGTACTAAGTCCCCACGCCATATCCTAAATGCAACCTCGTCCCGACTATGTAGAGTACCACCACACGGCAGGGACCCTTTGCCCCAAAGCTAAGAATGTAGAGGCTCACCTAATAACAGGACAAAACGCTGACTGCAGTTGCACGATGATATATGAAAAGACCTACCTTCAGTGTTACGCTACACACCCCGCCGCTGCCTAGGCAGCCTCACGCCATCACGCCACTCACCTGATTGTTGGCTGCTATTACTCACTCACCATCTTAAGATACATCTCGTTGGGAGGGTATGGCGGTACTGCACGCTCAACCTGGACGCACCGATAAACGTTAAACCTTGAAGCTACGCATACTAAGCCTGCCGCCAGCAAATTCAAGGATAGTTTATGTTCATAAGCATAGGAAGGGGGAGAGTCCCACGATTATCGAGCAGGTATACATGAAGCAAGCCTTCACGATAAAGCAAGACTAGGGACGACGAAACGACGTCGCGGAGCAGGGGGAGACGTGGCAACAGGGACCATCAAGCGCGCACTCGGACGCGGCTCCAGAGGGAGCGCCCATGTTTAGGGCAAGCACGCAGAGACTTGGCGATGTGCGGGAACGGTCGTTCTCTCCTTGAACCTCTCTGGAACATGCATTGGTCGAGTTTTGAGCAGGTAGAACTGTATTTCTATTGATAATGAGATGCAAGGTACCAGTTTAGCACTCAAAACTCCGGATACAAGGTAGATTCCTAGAAAGGGTCTGATTAGTCGGCATTAGTACTAAGTTATTGCTAATTAGCGCAGGGGGTTTTTCCTGATGACGTCGACGGCCGCCGTCTCATTGATAGCACGCGCCACGATGGGCTCATGCGCCAGGCTCGACGCCGCATGTCCCGGGAGCGTAATGTCTTATCAACGGGCAGACGTTGATGAGGATCCCCGAGTCGGTCGCCGAGTACGCCCCAGGGAACGAGACCATCTACCCCGAACTGCGAGCCCCCGATGCGGAGCTGCGCGCATTCCGGGTAGAACTCTGCGCCGCCCTCGGTCTGGGCGTTTGCAGCGCGGGGATCTCGTGGCAGATGAGGTACTCGCCCGGCGCGATGTTCGAAGGAGGGCGACGTTGGCGGGGAGGCCACCGAACGGGTCCTACATCGCCCAGGCGCCGTCGGAGCGAAGGCCGGACTCTTCGATCTTGAACCAACGGGCGGAGGAGCAATAGGAGTTGGCGCAGCCGCCAGACGCCAGGTAGGTCATGAGAGGGCCAGCCTCGTGAGGCCACTACACGGAGACAGAAATGAAGATAAGGGTGGAAGAGGAAGGGGAAGAGACGCACGTTGGCACCGGTACCGCTGACCCACTTGAAGCTGACAGTGCTTCCAGGGTTAGCGGAAGCGATCTTGGCCGCTTTCTGCGCGCCTTGGCCCCAGGACAGATCCGAGCTCGACGTGTTCTGGATAGGGCTGACCGAGTTGATCATCGTGATCGGCGATTGGACTGAAAAAGCGAGAGCGGTTTAGTAAAGACCAGGCATGGTTGAGACGACAAAGGAAGCGCACCGCCATTGCTGTTGGGTGTGTTGCCCTGGCACGCTTCCGACCCGTCGAGGGAGAGGGGGACTACGTAGGCATGGCCTGCGACGACGGGCACAGCTGCAAAGAGGGAGAGGAACGTCGATAAAGCGTGCATGGTGTCAGTAACTGCGGGTAGGAGCAGTGCGGAGGTCTGAGACGTGAAGGAGAGGTGCGAGGCTGACCGCGTAGGCGAGATTGTGACTCGACGACAAGCGACCATTGAGTCCTTCCTCCTGCCTAGACCAAACTGTTTATGCATTTTCTCGACTCTGCAAAACGCGGTTGTTCGGTTTTCTTCTCGGGAAGATGTTCTGAGGCACCTGAAACAAAAGAAAGGGGACTATCTATATCTGATGCAAGCAGTGGTGGAAGAAAATGCGTGTCCGAGAGTCGAATGAGATACGTCCGTATGTTCTGCCGAATTATTGCCCCACTACCAATCTGGGCCTCAGTGCACAAAAGCGACATCGTCAGCGAGGTCCAGAGGTGGGGCAGATACGGTTCAGCTCACCCAATCAAGACTCCCATCCAGTCCGAGCAAAACGAAACCACGACTCACAGCTTGGCGGCCCGCGGCCGGTGCAAACGGACCGGCTCCCCCAAACATCTACATGGCGGCGTAGAGATAGTGTCTGTACAACTTCGTTCAGTCACAAAGTTGTAGGGCTTTGAACAGCCATCCGGGAATCGCAGGCTGGCATCACGATAGCGCTCGAATGGAGCGGGACCACGGACTCGAAAAACCGCCATACATACCACTCAGCACCCATAGGATACATTGGGAGCCGGAAAATTACTGAGGAAAAGAATAGTGCATACGGTCCGAAGGACTCAAATTGCTGCCCGTATCTTTGCACTCTTCCCCCTTCCGAGACGCGAAGCACAGGTAGAGCAACGCGCAAAGAAGGCTGCGTCAGACTGGTGTGGCATCAACGACAATAGTTCAACTCGACTGTAAGCACATACTGTTCAAAGTGAAAATTGAGGCTGAAGGCTACAGCGCTGAAGTTGGAATTGCCCCGGGTAGGCTACTGGTACTTGTGGCTGTGCAGCATCCGTGATCTCCGGTGTCGGTCTTTCCTCCCGTTTGTGATCTCACGGTCACTCTCGGCCTCCTACGCCCTCCGCCAGCAAAGCAGCTTGAGCGTATGGCTCGTCACGACGCCAGCGTTGAACATACGAACAAACCGTGTAGTAGAACGTTGCACAACGCTGTCACAGCCTCTCTCTGTCGCTGCCATGTGAGCAAACGCTGTCATCCAGCCACGCAGTCCTGACCTCGAGTCAGATCAACGAGTCGGAGTCGCGACGAACTGCCATCTGCTGCGATCTGGCTGTGAGTCCCGGTTGCCCTTCGTTCTACGCCGATTCGGAGACGGACCACTGACGTTATCCCTAGTGATCGGCGTACGACACGCAACTTAAGATCCCGTCGTTCCGTTGAGGACGTTACGTCTCTCCTCTGGCTCGCTCCTCTGAACGTGCTATCTCCTGGCTTGATGCAATAATGACTCCACGGTCTATCACCCAACCAACTATGCAATCTACCCCCACATACGTAGTCTTGACGAGCTACGATATCCTACTCTATCTCTTCGATCAGTTCCAGTGGTGCCATGGCCCCAGCCGGGATTACCTTGCATCTTGTGCGCGGGTTTGTCGCGCTTGGCAAGACCCCGCTTCGTATGTCTTATGGAGAAAATTACCGGCTTTGCATCCCTTGTGGAATCTTCTTGCTGCGCGGAATTTCTCGCCCGAATCCAAATGGCTTTCTGCCTACTGGCAGGTAAGACAGCCGATCTCCCACTTCAATGCAATGCTCAGCCGCTTTGCAGTACATAGACGCCGACGGCTTCGTAAAGAACGTAATCACCCGCGATAGGGAACGGTGGAACTACTTCCTTCTCCGCGCTTCGCACGTCCGTGAAGTCGGCATAGCCGCCTGTGGCCCAAGTGAACTTGCCCTAGCTCGGGCCCTGACTGAATACAACAAGGGGAAGTCGTTGCTACCATCGCTTCAGCGACTCTCTTGGAGACATGCCGTACCCACGGACACCTCAGTGCTCCTGTTCAGCTCGCCGTCTCTTCGCGATCTGGAGGTGGCCGTCTCACGTCTTGGCACCGAGACCGGCATGACGATCAACTCAATCGTCCCAGCTGGGCCGGAACTACGATGGGGGAAGGCTGGAGAAGGCGATTATTGCGGAGTATATTGACCATCTCTTCCCGAACCTGGTTTTTAATGATCGAGAGGTCAACGTGGTAGGGCCGAAGCAACTGCCGGCGATGTTCACATGGGAGGCTGTCGAAGAGGAGATTAGGTTGTTGAGGCAGCACCAAAGGTCCGCCATCGTATAGTAGCTAGAGACGGGCAGTATCCGCTATTGGAATCGCACTGAATCAACGGGCCATGGATTGTTGCACCGCTTTCATCTCTTCGCCTGTCATCTTGTTGTTGGCTCGGTTCGATCTTTGTGGGCACTACATCAGGAGGTACCCAAAGTTGGACGTCACGCTCGTTTTCTCCGCGATAGCCCTATGCATGCAGGTTTGTCCCGTGCTGCGATAACTGAGACCGAACAGGTAGGATAATTCTTGACATAGGACAGCATGGCCTCAATACCGTCTCAAAGAGAAGTGACCTGGAGCGATGCATTGGCGCGTGGGCAGCTCAGTAATAACCGAGGTAAATGAGTGAGTCAAGATTCAAGGAATGCTTTCGATCTACCCTATTGACCAACGTCGCATATATTTGGCCGTTCACGCTTTGATCACATGGCCGTTCATCTTTCACGCGCGGTTAACGTGACAGTTGGCACCGTTTCTTCTCGCTGTCAACTGATCGTTACCTGCTATTTGTCTCTAAAGTGGGGGGCTGTCAAGGACGCTATTTCTGATAGTTACAGATAGATTCCATACGCAGAACCTGGAGACGAACATGGTTCGTCTCACAGTCTGCCAGATTAGAATCAGGTCAGCATCTTAAAAGGTGGACGAATATTCTTCAAACGCCTATATCCAGGATCTGAAACTCGACCTCTCCCTGACACATTGCTGTAAAGTGCGTTCCCATAATGAAGATCGTCCTGCTCGTTCACAATTGACAGCGAATGTCGGTGTCGGTGATCCACACGACCACAGCTTCAAAAATCAACTGAGACGGGACATCTCGCCGTCACTGGGTAAAGCATATTACCGCTTTACATTGTGACCAGCATCGTAATTTTGCTTTGGTGAGTCGGTCCTGCGTATCTGCCAGGGGGGTGAACCATGGATTGCTGAAGCTCGACATGGAGTTGCTAGTCCTCTGCGGTTCACAATCGACAAAGGTCATACTTCCTCGGACCGGGCCGTATATCTTCCTTTGCCAGGCACGGTAGGATTGCCACGTATTCATATAGTTCCACCACTCATATGGCCATGAAAGTAGTTGTCAGATTCATATCCAAGATGCCACGTAATAGTGGTCGTGGCCTCGATACCAGTAGTCGCGAGAGCCCGCGTCTCACGGATCCTGTCAACCTCCCCTCCAAATACGCAGAGCTACGTGCAGAAGCCGAGAATCGCCGACGCAACGAGGCTCAACGTGATCCCATGGAGCCACCGCAGACAGAACGCGAAAGCGATTCGGGAACCACATTGCCGCAGTACGACACAGAGGATGTGATGAGCGAATCTACGCCATCTACCGCCCCACCCGCCTATTCTATGTGATAGTATGGAGTTTTGCACCTTGATCGAAGCTGTTGACAGATTAGCGGTGACGACGGTAGCTTGAAAGGTAGTAGATGTCGAGGTTACCCAATGAGACGTACTATTTATAGGCTCCAGCTTTCGTACAGAAGATAACTCCCATTGCTGTAACAGTAGAAAGGCAGAGATGCTAGATGTCCAAACCTTTGGATTAGATTGACTCAGTGAGGTCAAGTTGCATCCCCCGGGCCATCGCCGCCGCGCTCAGCCTGCCATGCGGCTGCCAGTGGGCTCTTCGGGCCGGTTGCGACGGGGCAATCCAAACACGTGATACTCCCGGGTGCCACCGCGGTTCTACAGTCCGACAACGGGTGGTTTCTTGCCTTTCTTCCAAGTTGTGCCGACCACGCCCGCGTCCGTACGTCTGCTTGTATGCGCATTGCTGAGCAAAGTTTCCTAACTCGACAGGCAGTAAACCAACAGTCCTTCTAATCAAGATGCCTCTGGCAGCTGTTCTGGCTGTTTCTCGTCATCGGCTCACCACTAACAATAGCTGCAGGCGTTGCTCTAAGAGTCAACCAACATAGGGAACATCGTCGTGGGGAGTCATCTCCGGTGAGTCTTGATGTGTCCTTGCTTGATCTACTGGGAGCACGTGTACGCGACAGTGATGCTTCTAGGGAAGCTCGACATGGCACTTTGAGCTCGAGCAGGCAAGGTTCTGCCCTTCTTGTACTCTCTGGTATGTCATGCTTGGGTTCTTGGCGCTATCTGAACGTGTCGCGAGGGGAATCTATCGTTCATAGGAGCCTGAAGTGGAGATGATACTAGAGCTCTCAGTATCCCGATTTCGTCCACTATAAAGACGAGTGTAACATGACGGGTAGTCAACGAGACTAGTGGAAGACGGAGGGCAACCAAAGTAAGACCGCGAAGAGCTCGCCTACTACTAGGTATCTTTACTGGCATGCGATCTAGAGAATCTGACTGTGCTGTCAATCAGATTGGGGAGTAGTGATGCACGATTATTTGGCTACCGAGTTGTGGTCCCTCTGCTACAGTATGTATGCGGACAACAGCATGTTGACAGCTTCATTACCCCATCATCACGACAAGTCTCCTACACCAAACTGCTTACGGGTCCTGCCTTCTATGTTGGTCACAGGGGTCCTCAATGATCTTCTTCGTACTGAAGGGATTTTACCGGCTTTCCGAAGGGCTGCATGCTCATCTTCGGCCTTCCAAATGCGCCAGCAGTCGAGCCGAGACAACGGCCCAGCTATGGGGACATATGCAAGCGATCCCGCTGATACACATGCTTCCACAGCTTATGCACATCTACTTCCCAACGATACGACAGTCTGAGCACGCTGGGATTGGGATCGAGATGCTTGTTTCACTTGGTCGCTCGGGTTCCGCTCGCGTCCAGGTCGCTGTGTGCCGCCTCGCGGCCCTTGCAGGCCCCACGTACGTATACATGCCTGCGGTGAATCGAGAGGAAGCTTCGCTCGAAATACTGCGATATAACAGCGCTCCGATCGGGTGTAGGCGTTGCACTGAATCACATCTAGGCGTCGCACCAGACCAGATCTACATAGCTATAGGCGTCTTCCAAAATCAATGATGGCAAGATTTGCGCATGAACAATTGAGCAGTGGACCGTGCGCAATCTTTGATGGCATAGCCCATATGGTCGACCTGCATGTGACCGACTGTGAACATCGTATCGTCATTGGTAACGGACATTCTAGACTCGAAACCAGTCGATCGGAACGCACGTGGGCCTGCCTATCGTGGAAGAGCGGAGAGTGAAAGGCAGGGCGTTCCTTAACGACTGGTCCAACTCGACGCCCTTTTGGCAGGCGACCGCATTTGGTACCCCGTGTGAAAACGTACTTAGTGGAATCGCGAACAGCGCTCTTGGAGAATACCGACGTGCCGCTGTGTAGCGTTCTGTCCCCTCAAATGTCGCCCCGTTTGTGATCATATTGTGTTACTACCAGTCGTCTATGTCTAAAGACAGGTTATGTTCCTCTGCAAATGCCGCGCGCGGCTCATAGATGTCCCCCTCAAGTTGTCGCCACATCTCTGCCTCGTCGTCGTCGACGATCCGGGCCTCAGTGCTCGGATTGGATGGGTCCTCTACAGCCTCGAATGTATTCTAGTGAGGAATCAGTCTGATATCAAGTAAACGGTGGAATTATCACTCACGGAGGTCCGGCTATCCGAGGACACGACGTCCCCCACTGTTCCGACCGCGTCCTGTGGGGCGCTCACAGGTTTCGCAGCGAGGGCCAGTGGCGTGATGCGGCGCTGACGCTGCAGCTGCTCGAACGTGCGATTGTAATCGTTGAGGGGACCTGGCAGCTGCTTGAGTCCAGCGCTCACTATGTTGAGCACCTCACCTTTGGACGGGTTGTCTGAATAGATGAGGCGGCCCGCTTCTGGCACAAGCACGTTGTATTCACGAAGCCTGTTGCATATTGTCTCGTAGTCCTTCGTAAGGTCCGGTGACCGATGTTTGCTACCCAGGTGCGCGCCGAGGGAGTCATTGATTTGCGTCGCGAGCTTCCGAAGCACGCCGACGCATGGAGAAATCATCTCCAACCATTCCCATGACGCGTTGCTTCCCTGCGCTTTGTACATTACCTAAACGATGTTAGTGCGGCGATATGTTGACAATTATAGGCATCGAACCTTAATCCAAAAGTTAAGATGTTCCTGCAGTAAGTCCACGGGCACAAACGCGTCGTCCTTGCCTGTTGGATTGACTAGCCAGTTATTGATCATGATATTTCTAGAGAAGCCATGTTTTATTCCGAAATTATGGCGACCAATACGAGCACACGTACCGAAGAGGGGCGGGCCACAGGTGTGTCAGGTTATGTATAATGTGCAGCATCTCGTAAGCGTACTTAGTTCGCCCACTGCCACGATACATGAGCGCCAGAATCTTGAGGGTGCGGATGATTCGCCCGGAGTACCCCCCTTTGATAGCATCGTTGAACTCCCGGAGAACGAGGGCGTCGCGCATGAATAGACACATGTTCTCAAAGACCATGTCGCCAGCTGTGATATTTGCCTCAGTGTGTATTTGTTCGCTGGAGGCAGGCACGCCAGCCTGAGGCTGCACGACTGGGTCAGTATGCGGCGCACGATGAGAGACATTGCATTATGGGCGTACATCAGACAGCGCGAGCTCTGCACCTTGTTGCGACGAAACATCTTGACTTTCTGGCTGAGACTCAGCATGCCCTGAGTGAGCAAGTCCGCTGACGGCGACCTGGGACGAGTGGAGAGGGGTAGGTGGAGTGTCAAAGTGCTCGCCTTCCTGACCGCATTCGAGCTCTTCGTGCCTGGCTTGTCGCAGCGTTGAAGCAACTGTGGGACGCACGTAAGTGTCGTATATCTCAGTAACATGGTTTTGCAGTTCTTCAAACTCGACGTTTGCTGCATAGTCTTCGAGGGATTCGCAGCGAGAAACTAGTTCCAGGCAGTGGAGAAGGGAGCCAGTTAGCGTGGTGAAGATCAGATCGCGGCATACACGATAAGGGGGGAGTGACGACATCACAATGGGCTTGCGATCGAGGGAGGTGTTTATGGCATGAAGGGAGGCGGGGCTTTGAGAGCCTGCTTGAGGGTCGCCCCAGTGGGTCTCCATGATACCGTGCACGAGTGTCATCTGATGATGGAAGAAACCGGGGCCGAATACGAGAGATGAGAAGGATCGATGGAGAGCATCGTGTCCGGCGCGATTGGCATTAATAGACCTAAGGCGCGAGATGGAAAGCTGATCACCAAAGGTGAGTTTGGCGAGTTCCCCAAACTCGAGTGCATTCACGTCGAAACCTAGATCCGTAAATATAGTGTCGATAACCTCCGCGTTGCCGGTGATGCTGGACTCGTCGATGTGCATTGCCGGCAGCGGATACACATCGGTCTTGTGCACTGGAATCTTGTTATCTGTGGCCGGCAGACATGAGTGGACAGCATCTCGGAAACGTTCGAATAGAGGGGACTGAGAGACAATGACGCGCAGGATGGTGTGCTCGAGTGATTGCCGGAAGAGCGTGGTTTCAGCAGGTGTATGGATAATGTCTTGTACTGAGAGGGGGGGCGCGGCATTGAAGCGTTCCAGAAGATGGGATGCCTTCATGTCCGAGAGGGAGGCCTGCTGCAAAGCGAATATGGTGGCGCAGGTACCGTTTTCCTGCGAGTCTTTGCGCCCGAGGATTTGCTCGGCTACCTTGAACATGAAATTTATATTATCATACACAAGTCCAAAAGGAGCTGTGTGCGCGCGAGTCGCAGCTGAGGCACGACATGATGTGGAGAGTTTGCGGAGGAGTCCTGCGCCTCGGTGAAAGGCGCGCTGGAGGCTGAGCGCGATAGACGCTAGCGCGGCCTGGGCGCCTGACGCGGGTGTGACCGTGTCTTGATCGCGCGCGACCATCGCGTCGTCTGCACCGATCGCGACTGGTCAATGCTAATAGCTAGTGAAAGGATGGAACTCAATTTCTCACTGGGCAACACTGTCTCCTCTTGCTCTCTGATCCCTTGGACAGTCTCCGGATGGGCTTCTCGTGGGGGCGCCTGCTCTTGAGCTTCTTGGGCGTCACAGACTGACTGGCGTGGGTGCGCGAGCGTCCTCATCTCTGTGTTTCCCTCCTCGCTCGTGCTCTCGTCTTGCGGCGCCCTGACCGGTCCCGACACACCTCCTTCCCATGCCACAGTGGACTTCGAAGCCGCGCGCATGGAGGAATATGCAACGTCCTCTGGCTCTGTCTCGTAATCTGACGACAGACTCTCTAAGTCCCCATCTGGCTCCCAGTCTGGATCTTCCCCGTCCGAGGAGTCGTCGCAGAGCTCTCGACCGGCCTCAGGAGCACTCCCTCTGTGGTGAGTGTCTACCATCTCCTTTGTGGACCCGCTGCCTACAAGGGCTGAGTAGCTAGTCGCCACATTCAGACTGGAGAGCAAGGAGAGGGTCTGTCGCGATGCCCCGGTCGCGTACAAGTATAGCCCCATAATATAGCAGACATACGAGTTGTTCTGGCTCCTTTGCCCCAGGAGATCTACCAGGGCTGTGCCAACTCTCTGGAAAACCGGTGAGTTGCCTTTGTTTGGGTGATGTGGACGAGGAGTACATACCAGGTCTCTGCGGTCTCGGCGGCGCTGCACTATCGCTTCCTCCTGGGGAGTTTTGTGGTTCTTAACTTCGAGTCGGGCGTGGCGGGAGGTGGTGCAGAATTTGCGCATGAGGGTGGTCATCGCTGGACAGACATCAAACAAGCGCGAGTGGATGGCGCGCAGGTTAAAGTCGAGTACGAAGGACTCGGAGATGGACATTCGCGGGGTGAGGAGAACACCATCCTTGGTCGTGCGACTCGCCTCTTGCCCCAGCAGGTCTCCAAGGTACGTCAGAGCCCATTGGCGAATGGTAGTCTTTGCGGATTCCGAGTTTTTCGTTGTCCATAGATCGAGAACCTCGCGTACTTGTACCCTGTTGATGAAAAACCCATTCCATAGATCATTACGGCACTGTGAGGACGGCTGTGCAATCCACTGAATAAAGTCTCCCCAGGTCACCCCGTGCTTCGCAAAGTCCTCCAGTACCCATCGGAAGTAGGTGTCCTTCCGGGACATATCTCGGCGGGCAGGCTCCTGGTGAAGGATCCTGCTCTCGCGGGCTGAGGCCTGTAGGATCCTGGTTTGCACGGCGTCATGGGTAGCCTGTCTGGCAGCGAGAGTCTGCCGGCGTTTTTTCTGACCCTTGGCTATACGGCCTTCTTTTGCAGTACGACCTCCATGGCGCAGCGATGAGGTCGACATGATGCCGTCCATGGGATCGCTCTCTGTCTCGGACTGAGGGGATTCTGTGTCACTGAGTCGGACCCCATCGTGAGCGTTCCGGCTCAGCGTTCCACGGGTAGGTCTCTCGGGTGTCGCAGGCAAGGGCTGATGGGTCTCGGGTGTAGGTGTCGCAGGTTCCTCGCGCTGAGCGGCCTGGGGTGAAGGAGATCGCGAAGGGATCGTCGTCAAGTCTGAGAGCCCAAGTATGTAGTCCAGGTCGTAATCCGAACGTCGGCTGACAGACTCGTCCATTTTAACAGCAGTAGAGTGCAGAAGGGAATAAGAGCTATGGTGCAGGCCCGATTGTACTGGGTGGTGTACAACCCCGACTGTCCGGGAATTGGCCGCGCTGTCTCATGAGCACCTCCAATCGCGCCTCCTCTCTACCTTGCCCCTGTACTTATTCTACTCCTATACTGTATTCATTGTCTACTCTCTCTAATGGCACCCCCAACGCGCACCGCACGATGGAAAACAAAAGTTACCACACCACGCCCTTATATACCTCGCCCCCGCCTCACACAGGACCAGCTGGACAATCTCGCCGCCAAAATGCGCATGACGTACGGGTGGGATTCAGACCCGAAGCCCTTCCAGCTCGAGGCGGTCAAGGCCCAGCTCGAAGGGGTCGACATGATCGTTCAAGCACCGACAGGTGCAGGCAAGACGGCAATCGCTGCAGGACCCCATCTGTGGCGAGGAAGTGAGCAGACTTTCACGATAATGGTTTGCCCCCTTCTCTCCCTGGAAGAAGAGATGGTGCGCGTTTTCACGTCGTCTTTTCGGACCGAATGCTAATTTGTCTCGCTCCGACTAGGAGAAAACTTTTGCAACTGACTTTCATTTGAAAGCCATCGCCCTCAACTCGGGCAACGGCGGATGTTCCCCCCGTAAGATCAAGGTGAGCCAAGGGCGAGCCTCACAAGTATACATGACATGATCATGCGTGGAGCTGTGCACGACACCTTGTTATGCCTCGCACTGGACGGAGCTCACACGACTTCACTCAGGAAATACTGGCACACAAGTACCAGGTAATACTCATCTCTCCAGAGATGCTGCAATCGCGGACGTTTACAGACCGCGTCCTACGCAATGCGGGCTTCATGCGGCATATAATGTCCTTGTTCATCGACGAAGCGCATTGCATAGCTCACTGGGGCGCGGATTTTCGTAAGAAATACGGGAGCCTCGGTAAGATACGCGTGTTCTTCCCCCGCGGCACTCCTGTCATCGCTGTGACCGCAACCCTCACCGCGCGCGTGCGGCGCACCATCCACCACACACTGCTTTTCGCACAATCGCCATCCCAGAGCCGCTTCGTGAATGTCGGCAACAACCGGCCGAATATCTCCATCGTCGTCCGAGCCTGCGAGCACCCTCTCAATTCCTATGTTGACCTCGCGTTCGTCATCCCACCCAATATACAAGACCTTCGTGACATACCCAAGACTTATCTGTATGTGGACGACATCGCTAGCGGAACCGAGATCATCAACTATCTAGGCGACAGACTCGAAGCGACTGCTCATCCCTCCATTCAAACATCGACCAGGCTCACATCTCTTCGGGAGGTCATCCGCCCTTCCAACGCGACCCTATCACAAGAATACCGCACGGAGGCCATGGCTCGCTTTCGCTCGGGAGATGTCCGAGTGCTAGTATGTACCGACGCAGCTGGGATGGTACGTTAACCCCCTTTTCCCACATTGTTCACAACAGACCGCGTTCGGCTTCCTACATGCACTCGAGCAGCATCTGCGCGATGCAAGCTGCAAGGTCGTCTGTGTTTCCAGCACCATCGCCGCTTCTAACATGATCACTCTACATAGGGCTGCAATATGCCTGATATAGACCGTGTGGTGCAATGGAAGCTGCCCGCGACGTTCTCCCACTTCATTCAACGAGCAGGACGTGCCGCACGAGGACCCGGTCGCATGGGCGTGGCTATTCTCCTCGTGGAGAGATCGGCTTACAACACTGACCTTGTCAACCAGACTTCTATGCCGCCACCATCGCTGCCGAACACCAATGTTGATGTCAGACGAACCAAATACATGATCCCAAACAAAGCCGCGGCGACAGGGAAGAGGGACACCAAGAAGATCCGCGAGTATGCCATAGCGCATGGAGTCAACCGAGGTGGGTCCCTCAAGCAGGATGACTTACCTACCGGTGAACAACCTCGCATCGACCTGGACCGCGCCGATGAGAGCCTGTTGACTCTTGTACAAAGCACCCGCGTTTGTCGCCGACGCATCTGGGCGGAAGTTTTCGAGAGCCCTATTTGCGAGACTGGTGAGTGCTCCCTAACGCGCTTCGCCATAATAGCCATTCAAGCTTGTCTGAAAGCACCATATGTGCGTTGCTGTGACATCTGCTGTCCTGACCTTCTGGATATCGCACGACCACCCCCCTCAACTCGTCAAGCTCAGGTGCGCCAGGCGAAGAAGGGGTTACACAACCCTTGTGCGCGCGATCACTTCAGAGCCTGGCGCAAACGCATATATGCTCGGGATCACACGGACGCGATGTACGACGAGACAATTATATTCGATGATGATCTCATTGCCGCCCTTGACTGCGTTGGTCCCCTCTCCCCCGAGTACATCACATCTGTCTTGCAAGGCAAATGGGCGTTCTGGCCCAAGTATGGGGAGGAACTTATAGCATTCACGCGCACTTTCACGAGTGACTTCATCCAACCACCAACCAAGCCGCGCAACCCCTCAAAAGCCCCTCAGATTCCACGCTCACGTTCAGCAACTCCCGCACCCACGCCGCCGCCGTTGCCAGCAAGGCGTACAACGCCCGGAATGCCTGACCACCCAGTCACGCCAGATTCTGCTGCCCCAACCCATCCTGTGCTCTCGTGGGCCTCCAAACGCCCCTTGAGCGACAGTTTTCTCCAGCCCGCCCTGATCGACCAGGACGCCTTCGCAGGCACGTCAATGCCACCCACGAAGCGCACGAAGCCCAGCGCCTACTTACCTGAGCGCGTCTCCACACCCATGTTCCCTCCAGAGCGCCCGCTCTCTCTCATGCCGTCATCCACCCATCGCCACCCTCTCCCTACTACGAATATCATTGTACCTGCAACTCCCACACTGCCCTACCCACTGTACACACCGCCGACTGCCATTGTCCCCTCCCCCTCTCATGCGCAACCAGGCGCACCCTACTGGGCCCGAAACCACCTCCCTGCTCTCGCCTCCCCAGTCCAATATCTCCCTCCTAAGCCCGCATTCACCACGCCCAGTCCATCGCCTTTGAATTATCCTCCTCTCTCCTACCATGCCGACGTCATCCGATCCGCGCCCATGTCGCCATCGCCGTCTATCATCCTCTCACCATCTCCATCGCCTCACCCATACCCCACCCGGTCCGCACGAGTAGCGACGTCTGATGTCGCTTCCTACAATCCAAATTCAAACTCTTCGGTACGTTACCCTCATGTTGCCTTAACTGACCAGTTCCCTTCAGTATCAGCTCTGCCCACACCAATGCCATCGCGGCCTCCTAGCACCACATCCTCCCATCCCATTCACCAGTACGTGGCCCCAAAGCTTGAGCCTGCCCAGATGCTTCATCCAGGAGGACCTACATCTTATATTCCATCGCCCGCGACGTATACGACATCTGTTGCGACAACCTCAGCACGGCGACCTTCCACCCCGCACACCCCAGCTCCCGCTTTTCTCGAGTTCACCTGGGATTCAACACTCTCATAGCTCATATTCTGACTTTGATACACATCATGTAGTATTGAACAAACATTGTTTGCAAGTAGGGAATTTTGAGCAGGCGCAGTGAGACATTTCGCTCGTGTACGCTCAACACGTACATCTCCAATTTCTCTAAGTACGTTTTCACACGGGGTACCCAATCCGGTCGCCTGCCAAAACGGCGCCCAGTTGGACCAGCCGTTCGGTGATCCTCACGTGCGGAGTGTGAATCTGGATCACCGAATCTCGGCAGGGGACGAGCCTACGGACATTCCCCTCTTGGCGAACTCACGTCGTTTCAAGGTCTGGCGCGGAGACAGTATGATAGCGGCTGACCATACGCAACCAGCAGCGCGCTCGTCTCACAAATGTTCCGATCTCCCTTCGGACAGAATGTCTATAAACACAGGCTTGGAGCGACTTGTCCGAGAACCTTGGCCTCCCACCATGCGCTCCATCTTGCTCGTGGCTGCCCTCCCGGCGTTTGTGGGCGCCAAAACCTTGTCGGTCGACTTTTCGACCTTTGCGTCGTCAGGCTTGACGGTCGCCCAGTTTCTCGACCAGAGCTCCCTATACGTCTCAGCTTATGAGGTCCAGACGTCCTACCTCAGTGATCCCACCGCGGACCCATTCTCGCATACATTCGTCACTGATAACGTAGACATCCAGGATGGATACCTGACGCTTAGAGTCTCCGGACCCACCGGGCAGGGCGCGTCTGTCCTGAGCGCGGAGGTGGGCACCTACGACGCGAACATCCTCTATGGGTGAGTCTTTCGCCTCTCCCATAGATGCCCAAAACGCTCTTCATCGACTTCGACTTCCGCCGCTTGCAGGACATTCAAGACCGTCGCCATCGCATCCCCTGTACCCGGCGTCGTCCATGGGTAAGAGATTATCGGCCTCTCATATTGAACCGGAACCTGGATCGTGATTCCATCAGCTTTTTCACGTACAAGAACGACTGCCAAGAGTCCGACATCGAGCTCCTGACGTCGTTTTACACCACGGGCAACACCTTCGTGCACCCTGGCCTCCAGCTCACTAACCAGAACCTCCAATGCGATCACACCCAAAACACCCACACGCAAGTTGCGTATCCAGCTGATCCCACTGCTGATGAGCATGAGGTTCGTGTTATTGATCCTTCATTCCCTTCTCTCCTCATCTCCGTTCTGCCCCTGTCCGCGTGCTTCACAACTTCGGCCTCCGCCGAACATCGTCCGACACATGCAGTATACCCTGACCTGGAACTCGAGTGCCACCACATACCTATTCGACGGCACAGTCGTTGCGACATTGAACAGCAACGTGCCTACTGAGCCCTCATCCTTCCTCTGGAACTCGTGGTCTGGTGGCAACGAGCGCTGGTCTGCAGGCCCGCCTACTCAGGATGCTATCCTGAAGATCAAGAGCATCTCGCTCGATTACGAGACGGCTTGAGTCTCGACCATACGCTCATAAACTCTGTATCGATCGTTCGGGAAATGTGATTCATGTCATATCAGTGTGCAAACGGCTGCAGTGCGAGAAGCGCAGAACAGCGGTATTCCTACATGTCATTTGCGCGATTGCCACTTCGGGTCGCAGCGTACAGCTTTGGCAGTGCTACAAGTTACCCCACAACCTGGACTGTGAACACCAATGGCCTCATTTCGGGCTCAATCGGTCTCCTGCAGGCGCACGACTAACTTGACCCCGCTAACTTGGTCGTTCTTCATGCGCTCCAGTCCACCGACGATGCCGTTCAACCCTCCTGGGAGCACTTCCCAACGGTTTGGCTACGCGGCGCGTCCAGTCAGCTCAAGCAGGGGTCGCGCAGATACATATAACAGGTCGCCTAGCTTGATATCGCCGCTATTAAGCAATTCAGGCAGCTTCCACAACAACGTCCCACCGATCTCGTGGTTGATGGGGGTCCTGAAGACACCGTGAACCATATGTACAGCTTTCCCGTCTTTCTGAGCCTGGGCGATGAGTTCCTCTGGCGTGAATTGGACGACGATCACGTTGCCCCCAGGCGCAGTCAAAGCCAGCGCGAAAGGGAGCGTCGCGGCGGTGGAGACAGCGTCGTACACGAGCTCGACGGGTCCGCCAGTGATCTGGGTCACTTAGGCTTTGATCTCTTCGCAGGAGAGCTTGCCGTCGAGGACGTGGGTGGCACCGAAGTACTTGAGGAGGTCGGTGTTGTGCAGGGGGCCGGTGGTGATGATGGGGGAGAACCCGGAGAGGCGGGCGAATTGTATGGCTGAACACAGTTGTAGTCGGTCAGATCTATCGAGTACATTGAACTGCGAGGCTACGGACCGTATTGGCCGTGGGACGTCCCTCCGCCAAGGATCACGATCGGCTTCCCCGCATACTTGCCTCGGCCTCCAGGCAGCCAGGGTGCGAGATACTTGGCGGAGGGTGCGGAGTCGGCCTGGTTGTAGATAGAGAATGCCGCGGTGGCGACGCCAAGATGCACCGTAGACGCAGCTTCAAACGAGATGCTGTCGGGTATCTCGGGAATACATTCAATCAGTGAGCACCCTCATAAGTCTTCGAGTCTTACCCCGGACAACTTGAAGGGGACTCACTTTGACGGCGAACTGCGCAGAACCGGTAAAGTACTGAAGGAAGGTGCCATAACTCGCGCCTGCAATGGTATCCCAGTTTCCATGAAATGTACTTGAGAGAATGGTGAGCAGTCGTACCAGCAGCGAATGCGAATAGCGGGATGGAGACGTACACTCGATCACCAACTACAAACGTCGTGACGCCTTCGCCGAGCTCGACAACCGTGCCAGCACCATCAAGCCCAAGAATGGTAGGATATTCCGTGATGAGGATACCCCAGGCTTGGATCTTCCTTTCGACACCGCCGAGGGCCGCTGCTTCGACTTTCACGACGATGTCGCCTGGTCCAGGCTTGCGAAGTTCCGTAGTCCTGACAGCCCACTGGCCTTGCTTGGCCTCAAGGAAAAGAGCTTCCTGATGAGAGGGAGTTGACATGACGTAGGATAAATGTTGAGGGCACTGTGGGACGGCTGTGAGGAAGGTGCGAAGTAGGGCGGAGTGCTGGGGGACCCTTTGCGAGCAACCTGGCCCTCTTTATAGCTGTGGAAGGGTGTGATTGACTAATCATCGCAAAATGACAGGGCTGACTTGCGCCACCGCGGCCGGTCGAGATGAATGAAGCAGGCGGCGGGCAATCGACAGTATGGTGGTGCATCCGCCTGCAGAGTGCGTTGGGACGGATTTTGGGGTGGACGCCTTAGTAATCGTAGCAAATTCCTGATTAGCGAACATCGGATTGGAACAGGATTGGTGCAAGAGACTTCGGGGAAGATTACTTTGTCGAGCTTGCACTCAATTCTTGAGTGGTCCGAGAACCTCGGGCTCGGGATATACGGAATCCTACTCCTGGTACACACGAAGTTGACACATACTGATAAGATAATTGCATGTCCAGAGGCTGCTGAGACCAAAGAAGGCGGATATGAGCATCATAGGTGTGACGAGCTGAAAGGGGAGTGCCAACAGATGTTGAGGCAGCCACACTCAGGACGTGGGCACAGCGGAGGTTCTTGAATATGCACTCTAGACAACGTGTGACCAAAGATGCTTCTTTGCATCACTAAGATAGATTGGACGTTACCGAGTCATCCGATAAGACGGGATGTACATGCCGCGATGCTCCGCCGCCACCGCTCAACGTCTCGACCGAGTCCGCGCCCCAGCCCTTGCCAATTTGCACGAGTGCGAAAGGGGGCGCGTACACCTTGTACATCGTGATAACCGCGCTCTCCAGCGTGGGTGTCCCGTCCTTGACGCACTTCGAGAACGCCTCGACATCGAGGCCGTGTGGGTATTGCTCCGCCGAGCGTAACTTCGGCTCGTTCACGACGTGATCTGGGGTCTGCTCTGGATCTGGCTCGGGAGCTGAGGCGGTTCGTGGGGAGCTGGGAATGATCCAGGAAATCTGGGGAGCCTTGGGCGCGGTCGGCTAGGCCTTAGGCGTCCAAGTCGAATTCCGTCTCAATGTCTCAAAACTCCAGCGTCGAGCTGAACATGCTTGATACACAGGCTCCTAATTCCGCATCCGAGCCAATCGACCCCACCACATGCTCTTGGTTGTGTCGTCATGAAAGTATGAGATGCAGGGCCGAACAGGGAGTCGCCTCAGCATGTTTTGTAGATTTCCTGGAAGACAAGTCAGCGACCGGTACATTATGAGAGGGTCGGGTAGACAGACCAAGCTTAGCACTCCCCCACCGCCCAGCACTTCAGCGTTGTTGCAACCATTGACATCACCTCTTGTTGGAGGGGCGCGGCTCGTGAGCAAAGATATCAGTGCTTCAAGGCAGACCCAACGTTCGGTGGCTCGAAGAGACCGACGGGGTAGGTGTCTATCCTCCATCCTCCATCCTTCATCCTCAATCCTCCATGGGAATATACGTATCCATGCACGCGCCACTTCAAGAGGTGCACATATAGTCATAGACCAGAGGCCTGGCAGGACACATGGGCCCCCGCTTCAACTTGAAAAAAATGGCAGCAGCGGCAGCACCCCGTGGGAACCGTCGTGACGAAGTCTAGCGCCCGCGCTGCAGAAAAGTTATTTTCAACAACTCAGGCTCTGGACTGTGATCTACAGGCCGCGCATTGACTTTCTGGTGCCAAACGGAATCCGTGACGTACATACTCAAGCAGTGGCCTACATGAAGTTGCTGCGTTCGATTTGACTTACCACTTCAGATTGAAGACTCAGTAGCAAGTCTGCCAGCATCGAGGTCCGCTCCGGCTTCGAACGCGATTAGGGGCCTTGACCTTGCGTCAACTTAAATGGAATATCACAGAGATACCAGGGATAACGAGAGTATTCCTTCTCCATCAAGAATTCCTACGCTACCTCAACAGACGAACACGCCTACCACGTAAGGTCCTCCCGCGCAGCTCCTTCCGACCAACTTTCCGTCGTTTCTTCATGTGTCCAGAGCAAGTATTAGTGGGTATGTCTGACGCAGTGCTAAAACTTCCGGTGGAGCCCGGGACAGCTGTGGTCTGCTGAGTGCTCCCAGCGACATTTGTGGACGATGTGTTTGAAGGCGCCATGGAGCTTGTCGAACTTGCAGCGTTCCCATCGGTACCCGACGCATTTCCGGAAGAAGATACAAGCTTCGCAAGGGGTCCACCGGGCGGCTGGTACTGCGATTTTTGCCCGTCTCCGGGCTAGGCGAGCCAGTCAACACGGTGGGTCAAGAGATGGCCTTGACACGGAGGCAGTATCGGGTCTTACTCACAGCAAACGTTAAGCCAGGGTCAGTGGCCTTGTACGCTCCAGGGAAGTGGACGTAGTCCGAGGATTGCGGCACGAGCTCCCCGCTGCTTTGGACTGATAGTTGTAAGCACTGCGGGTACATCTCCGCACCACTTCCTCCCATATTAGCGACCAGCGCCAGATTGATGAGCTGTTGCGATAGGAATTGAAAGCTTCAGATTCGCAATGGAGATGTGCGAATACAGCATTCGGCCGCACCTCGTGTCTCAATAGGTATTGTCCAGCCTTGAGGTTTGCTGGGATAGTCAGGTTGTAAGGCTTTCCAGGTTCCACTGAATCAGGCATTGAGATAGGAGTTTAGCGCAATATGTTGCAGACAAGGTGCAAAACCACCTCCACCCACTGAAGATCTCCGCCATGTACCAATCGCCAGTGGTTGGATCGATGCCTTTCTCGTCGATATTGAACCACTGGGCTGAGGCAAGATCCTGGAATTGGGTGCAGTTCATCCCGCCACACTCTGCCATCCACGCAGTCATGGCTCCTGTGTTGTGTGGCCACTACGTAACCAACCCAAACTAGCGGTCAGTTCTACATGTCCATGGGCGTTCATCGGAGGGCGCGCAACATACCGTACTTGACCAACGAATCTCGACGATGCTTCCTGCATCGACAGGAGCTTCTACTGAGACGACTTTGGCTTGATTACCGCAGGCAGTGTATGAACTTGTCACGTCTACAATTGGCCCGTTTCCGTTAACGGTACGGATGGCGGTTGGGACTAGGGCACGCGTCATTACACCGTAGGTTCCGTGAGGATTACAGGCTGAAGAGACGTACTCCCTTTCGGATCAAATTCGTCGTCCCCAGTGTAGTTCCTGCCGTTAGCTATGAACCATTCCACAACACCATGTGCTGCCGTCTGAGAAGCAAGAAGAGCAAGCGAGATAAGTGTGGCGGCGATGTGAACCATCGCGGGAAATGTGGCGTGAGGGAAGAGTCAAATTCTGTGTGAAAGGAGTGAGGGATTCGCAGAGCAACGGCTCTACGAGGTCTAATACCTTAGGACCGTCAAAGAGTGGCAGTGGGATTATATAGTTGGTGAGGATGACATGCCCATCACACCCTTATATCCTGTGCGATAGCGAGTTTCAGTACTCTACTCTGTTACATCCTGGCAATGAACGTTTGGAAACTCAATGGTCCCATTCTGTCGTTACCACAAGCGACAATTGGAAGTGAGTTCAACTCACATCGACGAAATTACAGCGCCCACTGTCAGGCGAAAACAATAGCTCTCGTCGTCTTGTGGGTGCTGGAGTATGCGGGAATCTAAACTGAGCCCGTCTCGAGTGACGATTATTGTGATGTCCAGCTACCGTGTTATTCAAACCGTGCTCCCTTTAATTGAGTTCATCCGTTCCAGCTACACGACAAGCCGTTGAGGTAGGTAAGAAGCCCGAACGCCTCCAAGCGGCAATCCAACTCCTCGCCACTTCCTCCTCGAGGTGAGGGAGATTTCTGAGCGTTTCAGACGCAGCCTGAGCTTTATCCGTGAGCACATGAAGACCGCTCACTGGCCCAGGACCGGACCCTGAGGTCCATGAACGGAATAGACCAAGCAAGCGTAGGGCCGGATTGTTCCCGACGGCGTCTGTATGCCCCTCATCGAGGGATTCGCTATCGCATTCCTCTAGCGCGGCGAGCCAATCTTGGAATGGTACGAGTGGAACGCCAAGCTCTTCTGCGATGGGTTCCAAGAGTGTACGCCATGCTACTGGGTGAGGATGTACGAGATGGAGGACGGGGGAAGGCGAGCTGCGCATTTCCAGCAACGCTTGTGCGGCAGGATAACTTGGGATGAAGCTTACCACAGCCTGCGTATATATTCTCCATTGTTATGAGAGGGAAAAAGACGGTTAACCTAACGAACAACTTCGCACCTCGAGAACAGGTAAGCAACGCGTGGAAACCGCAGACTTGACGAGTGCCGGGAACCATTCCTTCTCGTTCCAGTGGCCTAGACGGTCTCCGCACACTTGACCAAGCCGAACCACCGTCACGGGAACGCCATGTTGCTTGGATACGTTGAATAGGACTTGCTCTGCAATCCATTTCGCTTCGGAATAACCCGTGCCCAAGGCAGACAAGGGCTCAAGGGGTACCTCGGCAATGGGTACAGTCGCAGTGCAATCTACGGTCAATACATTCAGCATCCTCGCAAGATGGGAGGAAGAAACAGCGCCTCACTGCGAAGCACGCCAACTGAGCTTATGAACTGAATACGGGGTGGTTCGACATATGGCGAGCCCAGAGCTAGCTCGACCAGGTTACGGACCGCCTTCAGATCGACCTCATACGAAGCGAGTGCGAGATTGAAGTCGACTTTCCAGGCTTAAAAAGAGGATCCATCAGCGTAGGTCTTGTCTCGGTAGATCAAACTGACCATTATGTATGATATGAGTGACCGATTCCCTGATCTGTAGATTTTCAGCACTATGAACGCACTCCTATGAGTGTGTAAGAGACTTACTCCGTGCAGCAGTTCCGGATGTATACCAAAATCGGGTCGGTCTAGCTCAACCTCGACCATTACGAACTTGGAAGAATTTAGTTTTCCCTCGTCCAGCCCTCGGGCACGGAAGCTAGCGCATTGCCTAGCCATAGTCTGCGCATCTCTTCGATTGAAAGCATAGACAACGAAGACCCTGTCGTCGGCAAGAAAACGCTCCAAAACATCGCAGCCAAAGCCGTTGGTAGTTCCAGTGATCAGGACCACATCTTTGCCACCCGGTTCTCGCTGTCGGCGCCGAGCAGGTCTCGGATTGAGATCAGACGAGTAGGTCTTGGCCGTCTGGAGGAGCTCTTCTGCCGACATGGTGCCCAGAGACTCTCCAGAACGATTGATGGCACTTAAGATCGTATCAGTGAGTTTGGTGATCGTAGGCGCTCTGTATACAAAGTCGACTGGAGCCCGAGTAGCGGCATCGGATGAGACTCCGCGAAGAGCTCGCAGGATGGTATTGCGAATCCATGTCGCTTGCAAGCTACGTACCATAAAATTAGGTTTCCGATGAAACATTATCTGAAATTGCATACCTATCGCATCCGCTGCGGAAGATATCACAAGTGTCGTCCAAGGGCTTCAGCAGGACCTTATGCACGACGGCGCGAACGAAGGTCCTGGCACTATCTGGTTCCCAATGAGCAGGGGCTCTGAGGTCGCTTTGAGTGCTCTCCTGGATAGCATCATACAAAGCTTCGATCTCCTCCGTGTAACGCTGCAAGATTGGATTACGGCGGATGTTACCCTTCGCGTTATAGTCGAAAGGCTTCAGCGGAGATGCGACGATGATCATCTACAAGACAGCTATTCATGATGTGGAAAGTCATACCCGAAAATTCTCACCTCTTTGAAGATGCGAGAATGCTGGGGGGCATACGCATTGGCACGCTCCACGCTGGGCCTAGAACGGATCAGCGCTTCAACGGAATAAGTCTCTCGCAGAATGGCATCACCATATCTTTGACCTGAACTCCGAAAGTCGACTTTGATCGTGTGGGCCAACGGCGAAAGCGGGTTCGGGCTCCACCAGTACCCCATTCTGGAATTTGGAAGAGCCGAAGACAATGCAGTCGCGGACATGAGCGTCCTCCTTTATGATGCGCTCTATGGAAGCAAGGATTCAGACATCTCGAAAACATTTGAGTCGAGACAGAAAATATTAGGCACACCTATAGGTATGGGATTTGTCTACGACTTCATCAATAGTCGACTTGTAGCGCTCAAAGGAACGCAGTCACCTTCTCGCCATTAGATAAAACGATCTGTTCATCCATACGACCGTATAGCTTCCATAGACCTTTCCGCGTCGGGTGAGGAATGACGAGATCATTTGTGGCGTATGCGTCTACGCCATCTATCTTCAAATTGACGACTGGCAGAGGGCAATCTGACGAGGACTGCTCATTGTCAACTATGGGATGGAATAGATCAACGAAGGCTGCTTGCGCACCAGGACAACGATCTCAAATTTCCCATCTCCCGCATCCCTGACGGTACTTTGGATCCATGGTGTAATCGAGAAATAACCCCAGTCCATGCCCGGATTCGCTGAGATTCACGATGAGATGCGAGCGCCTCGTTCGGAGAACTTCGCGTGCTACCTGGAATGATGTTCGCCACAGCTCCAATTTCGGTACTGATAGGGAGTCAGCTGACGTAGAAATGCCCAGAAGAACAAGGACATACATGCCATACGCCAAAATCAAAGAAATACCGCGAGAAGCTAGCGAGTTTCCGACCTCCGCGTTCATCTCCGCACCTCCAAAAATCTAAGGTACTGATGTGAAAGACGTCTAGCAGCTCACGAGAGAGATACGCACAACTCCTTTCATCTTTCTCATACGATCGATTTTGCCCGGGTCCCGAGCCCACTCCTACCATTGTCATGTCGACGTTCGCTTTCTCCAGAATGGGTGGAGTTCTTACCTCGACGAAAGTAGGAACAGTAGAGATGTATTCGGCCCCCGTTGCGACTGCATTGTCGAAGACATTTTCTGGTGTCGGAAAGATCGGCGGTGATGACGGCACAAACACCCCTAGAATAATGCCCGTTGTAACCTGCGGAATATGGTGTGTAAGGATGAAGTAGGTCGGGGGCTCATCACTTACTGTAGTGGTGTAAAATGAGACGCCTTGCGCATGGAACATTGGCGTGCCGGCACACGCAAGCGTAGTCCCAGTCATGTCCACCTCCCCATACCCTTTCACAAGTACGCGTGAATCGCTCCCCAGGATATGACAACATGTAGAGGTCTCACATGGGGCGGTCGCTCTGCTAGTCAGCCTCTTGTGTGTCCAGAGTATTGGCTTTGGGTGATTAGTCGAACCTGTACGCCATGGTCAATAGCAGAGCCACGTAACAAATACCATCAATCGCACCAGACGAATGGAGAATCATCGCCACATCATCCGCTGCATATTCGGTTGGTAGTCCCTCAGGTCCAGGGTCATTAGATAACGCATCGCTGGTAAACATATCCTCAAACTTGAGTATAGGGTGCAGTGCGATGCCTGTCAAGTCCCGTGTTGACTCAGTCGCCAATGCTTGCATGTGCTCATCTTCTGATACTAGCACATGTTGGCAATTCGTGCGCTCCAATAGGTGAGTTACTGCTGCAGCGCCATTCCGGGTAGAGATCGGAAAGAGAATGTGACCGGCACGTAGAATTCCAACAGAAGCGATGGTATACGTGACGGAGTCTAGGGAACGCAACAGGTACAGGTATCAGTAGGTCTGATACATTCATCAACGAAGTGTTTTTACCTGTGTTGGCTAGGATGGCTATGGTTCGCCGTTCACGGTTATCCGCAAAGGACAGAACGTATCGAGCGACACGCCTGATAGCCCGGATCGCCTCCGCATAGGTGATGATCCTGAGGGCTCCGGAACTGTTGGGAAAGCAGAAGAGAGGATATTCTGGATTCTCCTCTGCGTTCCACTCAAAGAGTTCAGGAATGGCGATCGCGCCCGACTCAATGAGTTTACGCGGAGAGCGATAGCTCCTAGACATCAGTTCGTCTCACAGCAGGGCGAGGAGAGGTGATTCGTACACGAGAGTTCAGCCAAGCGGCCTTTAAATGGGGACAGCCTACCGCAAAAATAATGACATCGGAGTCGAAGCGAGTCGCGAAAGTTCCCAGAGCTCTGGACTTTCAAGCTCATGACACGACAAGAAGCTGATGCGGGTGCCCATGTTCGTCAGTTTTCGCGCAGGATGTCGTGCAGTGAGAACTTTGGAACGATAAGGTATTCTATATGGACGGAATAGCACTGATTATCAAGTGAGCGGCGAGAAAGAGACCTAACACATCACATGAGACCATAACTCAAATACTGCGCATGCAAAAGACGTACGGTGGAGTTTGGGCCCATCAAGCGTCCCGATTGTGGAGAATCGCCATCAACGAGCACAAAAACGCTCGCCAGTACCTCGCAGGCGTTGTTAAAGCTATCTTGGCCATACCACAGGTATCTCAGCAAAGGTGATGGCGGATGCATAACGAGAGCGATAAAGAGAAGGCAATGTGTGCAAATGACAAGGAGCGTGTTTCGAACGCAAGGACCAAACGAGCGGACAGACAAGCAGGTACTCCAGGTATGGGGTCGAGGAAACAATACAATGACAGACCAACGAGCTCAGCGGAGTGGAGGAGGATACAGCGTAGACAAACCAATTACGAACCCAACTGCGAGTATAATCATAATTAGAACAGAGGCAATAAGCAAAGGGCAAGAATAGCAGACACAATAACGCAGGAGATCAGTCGCCCCTCGAGCTCAAGCTCTGGTCTAATCGCGGCACGGGCGGGACGAGCTCCTTCCCGTACATCGCCTCCACCCGCTTGACGAACTTCGCGCGGATCTCCGCGCTCCGCTCGTCGTCCAAGAAACTATAACGGCTGTTCGCATCGCTCCACACGCTCGAACGGTCCCCGCCGCCCTCTTCCGCATCCAGGTACACCGTGTCGCGCTCGTACCCCGCCACGATACCCGCGACCGTATCGTGCTTTGACGTTGTGTCCGTCTTCGTTGAGCGGGCACGATCCTGGCGCGCGGCCGCTTCCGCGTCACGCTGTGCGCGGAACCCAGCGAGAATAGCGTTGACATCCGGGGAAGGTTCCGGAGGCTCCGTCGACGCGGGCCGCGTATTGGGCACTGAAAGCGACTCGTTACTAATGCCGGCCTTGCCCTCCTCGACCTCCTCGTCATCGTATACTAACCAGGGGCGGCCGTCATCCGGATCCGTCCCATCGCCCTCTTGCGGCCTTCGCGTGTCCATCGCGGATGCAGAGCGCGGCGCCCAGCGCACCCCAAGCTGGTTTGTAGGGCGTGAGGGCCAGCGGCTGTCCCCTGCAAAGTACGGCTGCGCGGACGCAGGGGGCGCCTCGACCCGCACCTCGTTGGAGGGCCAGCGTCCGTGCCCGTTGGGGTAAGGGCTGGCGGATGCAGGCATGTTCTGGTTGAGCACGCGGTTGACGGCCTCGCGGGTGACCTTCGACGTCTGCCGCATGAGGGGCCTCGTCTGCTCCCGCGGGAGCACCGGCGCAGTCGGGAAAGGGGAAACACGTCCACGCTGGACGGGCGGCACGGGCTGCGCCACGATGGGAACGTCCTGTGAGAACGGGTGCGCAGCCGTGTTCGGACGGTCGACAGGGGAAGCGATGGGAATGTTCCGCCGCTGGGCGTTGCGCGGGTCGTTCGTGTCCGCAGGAGCAGAACGTGGGAAGCGCGCAGGGGAGGAGTCCATCACGCTCCATGATGGACTTGTGCTTCTCGAGATGTCCGATGGAACGTCTGGCAACGGTCCCCTGGGCGGGGGGCTCGGCGGCGGGAGGTCGTAATATGCGAGCACCTTTGGGCGCACTAGTGTGGGACTGGGAGAGGGCGGTGCGGCAGCTGCCGTCGGTGTCGATGGGTTCGGTGTGATGAGGACATAGTCTGGATCTGGCGAAGGGTGACTACGGCTGGTCGGGGTAGGCGGGGTGAGCGTGAGAGGGACTGGCACATGTTTCGGCGCGAGAGAGGTCGTGTTTGGCGCTGATATCTGCGGGCGAGAGCGAACGGACTTGGATGGAGACAGCGTAGGATCACCACGCGATTTCGGTGAGGGCGGACTGCCGGGGCGTTGGCCATAATGGAAGGGATTGAACTTCGACGGTGAAAGTGGGCTTCCGGCACCTGGCCGGCGGAGGGAGGACAGGAAGTCGATGCTTGGGGAACGGACCGACTCTGCGTCTGCAAACGCCTTGGTGAGACCATCATGCGAGACCACAGAGTCCCGCTTCTCATCAGACTCAAGAGTGGTCGATGATATGTCGGCAGTGATGGATGTATACGCAGAAGTCGACGTGTCGATCGAAGTGAACGTCTCTACGCTCGGACGGACGTCACCAAACGCGTCAGGCGGGATTGGCGTATTTGCACGCCTCCACTTCTCGTGGATGGGGAGGGTGAGGTTAGGGAGTGCCGGGACGGGAGGGGGCTGGTCCTGCGAAGAGTCTAGCGAGTCCTGCTTCTTGCGTGACTTGGAATTCAACCTGAAGAACCGTCGCTTCTTCGACGACTCCGAGAGGTAACCGCCGTCCGACTCGTCTCCGCTGACAGGGGAAGTCACTGAGGACTGCTTGCGAGACAGAGCTTTGGAGAAGCTCGAGGAGTAGCCCTTGTCCGTCTCGTAGTCTGTCGCTGGGGAGTCGGCGGACTTGGACTTGGACTTATCTTTCTCTTTCTCCACCTTCTCCTTCTTCTCCTTCTTGCTCTTCTTCCGCTTCGCGCTCGCCTCACTGAGGTGCCCACCGTCGCTCTCGTAGTCTGTTGCGCCCTCCTCGCCTGCACCGTCCTTGTCCGTTCCCTTCTTCTTGCTCTTCTTCTCCTTCTCCTTCTTCTCCTTCTTCTCTCTCTCCTTCTTCGACTTCCCGCTCTCGCTCACATACCCACCATCGCTCTCGTAACCATCCTTATTCGGCTTGCGAAGCTTGTTCCTGCCCTTCAGCAACAAGCCCTGCGGCTGCGCAGAAGGAACTGGGGAGATCGCGCGGGGTTCCGGCGTTGCCCTAAGGTCGAATTGGAGCGTCCGCTGTGTGGGATCAGGGGTACCGCGCGCAGGCGACAGCCCGTTGCGCTGCGAGTACTGAATGGAGGTGTCCAGACTGAGGGCATCCTTGCTGCCATTGGCGTTGATGAGTATTCCAGCGCCGGGCTGGGTGCGCTGCGGCTGCGTTAGTCCAGCGGAGAGGTTCGACTCTTCCGACGTTGCAGTCGAGGCATACGTGAGGCTCGGGGAGACGATACCCTGCAAGTGGGAGTCGGTGACATTCCACCATCAGTGCACGTCAACGGGTTGGAGATGTGGGGGAAGGCGGTCGAGGGCAGGAGACGTACCTGGTTATCCAGAACCTCCTCTTCGTCTCCTTCCTCCACGGGGTTGAACATCCAATTGGCGACAGTGCGGCTGCTTCCGACGCCGAGCTCGAGCGCGCTCTCCAGGATCGACGCACGGAGCATCGAGCCGCGGTTTTCAGGCTCGGTCTGCTCTACGCGCTGAGGACGCGCGAACGACGCAGGAGCTGGGCTCTTCGGGAGCATCGCCAGTCGTAGTGTCCAAGCAGACGGAAAGGACGGGGAAAACGAGCGTGGCGTCCTGCTCTGTGTCGAAAGAAAGCTGGAGGAATATTGCGCCCCGGAGATATCAAGGAGTTACGTCAGGGCTTGGTCTCGTAGCGACCGAGCCCCATGCGTTTCAGACGTGTCCGCTTTTTCAGTGACGACAGACGGCGAGGGACCTCGAGGATGCGGGAAGGTGCAGAGGGAGTTGAAGGTGAGGTGGTTGCAATTGGGGATGCATGTGCATTTGCACTTGGGTTCCGAATTCGAATCGCCCGTTTCGGATCTGCTTTGTCCTGTTCTACCATCTTCCCACTCAAATGTTCGAGCTATACCGATTTGCTACAAGTATACTCTTCTCTCACTCATCAGCTCTTCCATTCTGTAATTGATGACGCTTTGCGAGGTGCCCGCCAAGCTCTACGTCCATCACGCAAGGAGCCCAGGCGGAAGTTGAATCTACCAAGTTACGGATAGTGTGGGCCTCGCATTCGTCCAGTATGCCATTCATTTAATGTGTCACCTTCACAACGCCAAGGCCGGGACATTAGGGTCCAGATAAGACGATCGCTGATCGTGAACCAAGGTACATACTTAGGTTAAGGCCCGTTGGGAAGTCCGGTACGAGGTGGATAGCAACGCTGCATTCATGGTTGAGTCAATATCGCGGTTTCCCAATTTGAGCGGGGACCGCCATGTGTACGTGGATGCACAGCAGCAATATTGCACAGATAGGTAAGCACGTCGTCTATGCGCGGATACCCTGAAGATACACAGTATCCCCCTCAATCAAGACCATGTCAAGCATTCGCGAATAGCATGCGGAGTAGTAAGTACAGACACTATCAGTCCGTCTGCTCCTCCCCTTCAGCGCTTGGGACTTCAAAATCGAGTCCGCCCACGCAGGAATCCCACGTAACCATTCGACGCAAGAAGCACTTCATTTCGGCCACTGGGAGGGAGTAACTCGGGAAGACCACCCTCACTTTCTTCTCGCCTTCGGCTTCGACTTCGAAGACGGTGATGACACCTGTCGCCTCCGCACGGCAGCGTGCCCCCATCCTCCCAGCTTGGTCGTCTCGACTTCCAATGCATCGGGCCTTCATTCTGTAGTGCCGCAATGGACTCCTTAATCAACGGCTCATAGCGGAATGTCCGCCCATCATGGCCCGCCTGGGCGATCCTGGACAACACAACAGGAGTTTCATCAGCTTCCCGAATGCCGCCGTTCCAAGGCAACATGTCCGTCGCCTGCTCCCGCCGCGGCGGTCACCGGCGGCACGTCGGCAGATACCAGCACAGTCAAGCAAGCGTAACGTCAAACCCATACTTACCATGACGAAACTGGACGCAACTGTGCAGTACACGCCTTCACGATCCTCTTGAATTCCCCCGTACGGCGTCTCGGCCTCAGGCGTGCCGCGGACACACTACAGTATCACATGGACTGCGCTCCTACATGTTCAAGACGTCCTTCTCCCGCGCCATCTTCCCCGCGCAGAAACCCGCGGCGAGCACCTTCCCGGCTCATGTGCGGACGACCGGAAAGGCGTGGCGAACGTCCGGGACACGGACGCGAGTAGCATGCTGTGAACCTATCGCTGCGTGCATTGAAAGCAACTTCGAGTAGGTTTGCCCACAGGATGGCGGCATGGACGCATCCCGAATGTCACCTTGTCTTCCCATCCATGCTTTTTGCGAGCCGTCTCCCCGAGAAAGTCCGAGCAGAGGTTGACCAAGATCACGAGGAGGCCTACCTGGATGTGTTCCTCACTCACGCTTCGGTGCATCGTGTGCATCTAGGCCGTACTACCTCCATCCCTGTCCCGCGCGTGAACTAGCTCTCTGCTTCACGGAGATGGCAAGGCACCGCAATCATCATGCGGCGTTGAGGTGCATGAACGGTATGTCTAGGTGTGCATACTGATGGCCGCACAAGGGACGTCAGCCCCGAGATATGCAGCGAACTCCTACAGATCGGGTCTAAAGTCAAATCTTCGGCAGGTGATCATTTTACGCGAGAGGCATGGCGCGAATACGATGCTGAAATCCTGAACGGAGGCGAGAATGGCGACGTGAGATGAAGGCCGCAGTAATCTCAGCAAAAGCTACTTTTACGAAGCAACGAATGGTATATATGCGCATTCGAATAGAGACACCCCATGGTGAATAGATATGCTGAAACCGAGACACAGTCCTTTCGCGATCTCAGCAGGTATCGGGCTCCCTTGGAGAAGACGACACAGCGTCTCAGCGCTTGAAGGTTCTCGCAGCATCGGCCTAAATCGTTGCTGATGCATCGATCGCTTGCACTTCAACAGCTTCAAGTGCCACCGTGAGTATCGATACATATCGTCACGGACTCATACATGCTTAGTCGATTCGTTCGGAGGCATGGTACCGTAACCACTCCCCCTGCCTCAATGCTTGTTGAGGGATTCCTGGATAGCAAAGACCCTCTTCACGCTGTCGCGAGATACCAGCTTCTGATGCCATCTATAATTCGTCGTACGTAACGGTAGACGTCAAATGATGCAAATCCATCGTACGCACGAGGAAAGCGCCGGATAGTCCTTCTGAACATCGGCGTAGTCCTTGACCGCGAAGTGAATTGCGACGTGGTTCCACGGGATGAAAGAGAAGTCGGCGATGGTCGGTTTGCCGCCTACGAGCCATTCTTGCTTGGACAGCACCGACTCGAGGACGGAAAACCACGGAGCACCTCCTTGCGGTAACGCTCGATAGCGCTCGGGACCTGCTCGGAGTGGAGGCGCATAAATCAGACAGCCTGACCGAAATACGGGCTGTAATACTCAAGCAGTCAGTATTGGCCGCAGGCCTATGCGCAGAAGTGGATACAGACCCCTATCCCGATGCCTGGAAGAAGAGCCAGAGTATCTCTCCTTCTCATCAGTGACAGTCAGTCGCTTCTCGGTGTCATACTTGTCCACGAGGTAGAGGAGGAGGGCGTCGGACTCCCAGATGACGAAGTCGCCATTCTTGTGGTCGACCAGGGCAGGGATGCGGCCATTCGGGTTCAGCTGGGTGTATTCGGGGGACTTATGCTCGAGTTTGTCGAAGACGAGGTATACGGACTCGTACGTAAGCCCGAGCTCTTCGAGCACGAAGACTACCTTCCTGTGGGCGGGGTAAGGAGGAATGCAAGGCAGAAGACAGACTGAGGCCAGGGAAGAACTAACTAACCAGCCATTGGGGCCTGTGGTATGGGTGTACAGCGTGAACTGCTTGCTGTGCGACATGTTGTAGTGGGTCAGATGATATAGGAGAGGCGAAAGCAAAGAGCTGCGAGGATGAGGCTCACGGTTGCGCTGTGAGCCTCTTTGAATACAGAGAATGCTCGGAGTCTGCAGATACCCCATCTCCGAGTGCTGGTTATACAGTCGCAGCCCTCGTTCGCCCACGCGGCTAAGGTTCCTCAAATCATGGAACCGTATTCCGGGCCTGACATTGTGTAGCTCAGCACCCAAGTCAATACTCTAGCTAAAGCGGATACAGGTGAGGCACGATAGGAGCACGGCCAGAATACAAGAAAAATGTATCGACATAGAACATCGCGAGATGGCGCTCCAAGTCCAGTACTGTCTCCGTGCTATCGCTGAACTGGAGGGGAGACGCCGAGGTGATGCTTGAGGGGCAGCCTGGCCATCGCATGAGGACCATCCGGAACGCATTCAGGGCAGACACTCGGCGCTGCGGAAGGGCCGCAAATAGTCCGGGGGAGTGCGCCGAAGGTAGGGTGTCGACCGCCCGCAACCAGCTCCCCGGAAATACGTTCGCCAGCAGGTCCTCTCGCAAGGTCTCATCCGGACGTGATTGTGACTTTGATGGTCGCAGATATCGATCCAGAGCCAAGAGCTCGTAGCGGAAGCCAAGCTCGAAGACCTCCCAAATAATGCCAGGGGCCAGGGTCTCGGGCACGCGCTGAAATTGTGTCCCATGCCAGTCCACCGGAGCGTCGGTATCGGGATCGAATTGGTCGTCTGCGACGACTTCCCCAAAGATGTTCTTGATAGCGAATACCCGCTTGCCGTTACGAGTCGTCGAGGTGGGGTCCTCGGGGACGCCGTTGAGGAAGGTCCGCCAAAGTTGCGGGCCCACCTGACATGCGCGCGATCCGGGAACCCGCAGTAGGTACAACCAGATGAGGCGCGCGCGGACCCAGTTGGTGAGATATCGTATCTGGCGCGCCTCGTCCTTCGCGCCCAACAACAGAGCGGGCTCTGGAATCCAGTACCCCCACAGCTGATCTGCAGCCCGAGCAGGCATTGAGCGATCGACCGTGGACATGGCCTCAGACCCGCTGGGGATAGGTGGAGGCATCCACTTGTGTGCGAATTCAAGGAACTTATCACGCCCGCGCACTTGCGAAGAATGCGGCGTCGAGACCTGCCTGACATCGTCTGAATCAAACCAATGAGGTTCACCTATAGTCGGAAAACAGCCTGTTTCACTCACAGGGTTTGGCCCGAATTTTGCCTTGAGAGGGGACCCGTCGTCCAAGCAAAGGTGAACTTCTTATGAATGTCGGATCCGAGTCCGACACGGAGGTGCCTGCTCTCGCGCATCAGCAAAATGTCATGGTCTTAGATCTGGTCTTGAGGTACTTGGCCAAGTACCATAAGACCACCAAGACCACCAAGTACTCCAAGACCAATGGTGTTCGCCAAGACCATCAAGACCACATCAGGAAAACGTCACGGACTTGGACCCATACTTGGGCCCAAGTTCATGTACTTGGACTCAAGTCCATGTACTTGGCCTCAAGTCCGTGTACTTGGCCTCAAGTCCGTGTACTTGGACTCAAGTCCGTGTACTTGGCCTCAAGTCCATGTACTTGGCCCCAAGTCCATGTACTTGGTCCCAAGTACACGGACTTGACCCAAGTCTATATACTTGGGGTACTTGGGGTGCTTGGGCCACAACTTGGACTTTACATGTTGACTTCAGTATACTCAGGCCTCAATTTGAGCAATTGGTGTTTTATCAGTCACACATCTTGTATACTTCTTATGTAATAATATCTATCATAGACAACCATACACTAGTTGTAAACCAGTCTGTTTTAAGGCTGTAGAAGCAGCTTTATTGTCACGGACGTTGGACAGACGCCCCTTTTGCCGCCCATTCCCTTTCCT